GTATAAAAAATGGGGCAAAATGCTTCCCTCTCCAAGTGAAAAAACTTCGTTTCGAAGGGCGCGCCCTTTCCATCACAAAACGAGTGGGCACGCCATTGAAATCAGAGTTTTTTTGCCTGGAGAGGGAAGCATTTTGCCACATTTTTGATACTTCCCGGATGTAAAATGGTACGTTTCTTGCCACTGGATCAAGACCCGACTGTATCGATACATGGAAGTAGCTCGAGTTTCTGCGCTAATTTTAAGGTGTCACGAATTGAGGCTGTCCGATTTTTCTCATCGTTTTTGAGCAAATCAAAAATGACTCCCCAAAGGTTTCATCTCGAGCTTTTCCAGAAAGCATGTGAAGACAGGAGACCCGACAAAAGATGCTATTCTTCAATAACCTTTCGGTTCTCCTCTACTGAATGCGTTCGAGATGGAATACCGTAGCCAGGAGCGTTTCCCAAGTACCCGGAATACCGCCAAATACCTCCCACTCTGACCGAAAATAGCGTGCGTTTGATGGCTCCGAGAAGAAGGGAGGGAAGCATAGACGTTTTTTCGCACAGTGCAAACGCCAAAAAACAGTCCGGCGACCATCCGGAAGGACTAGAAGCCTTTTGTCTTCCTTCTTGACTCGATTAACTAAATATTTCGTTCTTTTATCATATGTACCTGCCAAATTTAACGTATGTAAGCCCTTCTTCATTTCCTGTTTGTTCCCTACGGCGTGTCTTCCAGATCTCGGAACACAGCTTAACCTTTTCATCCATTTATTTTAGTCCGTTTCTACCGTAGTCCACAAGGCATTCACGTCAAGGTCGGTGGACCAAAGTTCGACACCTAACCTACCGTGAATACGTCAGCCAATCCCACCCCATCTTTATTCGTTTTTACAAACATCGGGATTTGAGCGTACGCAAACCACTAATTAAAAAACGCTTTTAGTCTCAAAGGTGGAAGCCTCTAAATCCTATTAGCAAAAATTTTACATCCCGCTAACTTGCAAATTAAGTCCTCTATAAATGTATATCGTGGGGAGATGATATACATTTGAGCCGTCTGTTCATAATTGATACACCGAAAACAACGGGGGATAAACGGAAGGGTCTTAAATTGTAAATTATTACAAATGCAAGGTTATGGAGGACAAAGAGGATAATTAGATTCCGAGAATTTTTATGGACTACGAAATTTTGGGGTATTATGCAAATCCGTTTCGGCAAGGGCTTAATGAAAGAAATTTTACAATCTAATTCGCTAACGGGTATTGAAACACCTCTCTTAAAAATTTCGACACTTTTTGAAGACAAAGAAATCGCTAAAAAATGTTGGTACATCCAACTGTAAGACAGCTAGAGCAGTTGTTTAAACATACGGTTCAACGCAGCTTTAAAAGAGGAAGTGCATGGGGTCAGACGGTTTGATGACCTTCAAGCTTTGAGACTTTTTGGCCGGCCTTGTGTATATTTACAGGGTCTTTCAAGAAACGTGAAAGAAAGTCGGCGCCTATAACTTCTGGCAGCGGTGGCGTAGAGACTTCGTTCTTGGAATATGTATTTTTAAACGACATTAATTTTTTTCTATGAAATAAAAAGTTTTTAAAGTGCAAACTGAGGTCGTCACGACCTTTTGAAGCAGGTCTCTATTGCCTCCAGTGTACGTTCGATAATCATTGCACGCGGTGCGACAGGAACTAAAGATTTTTTTTATAAAATCTTCGCGTCGCATTTTGTCAGCTTTCCCGTAAACAATCTCTTTACAAAGCTCCGCTAAAACCGTAAGTGATCTTTCATAAATTATCCACAACACTGAGTCATCATGTTTTTGTAAAACTACAAGGAGGAACAAAACGTGCGATCTCTTAGCCCTGATGATACGGCGATAAGCCGCAGTGAGCCACACATTTGAGTGAGATTAATCCGGGTAAGAACCACAAAGAAACATTTTCGCGGCTTACTGAGAATGTCAGCGATTGAACACCTAACGGGTTCAAAATGCAATCCATAAAAGAAATACGTATATGAGGGAGCAAAAAGAGGATAAAAAAGTTGTACACAGCTTAAAAATTGCTTTACATAGATTTTCATCTACCTTCGAATCTTGAACAACGTGAAAAAATCGAATAACTGCTGGATAAACCACCTAAATTAGTTAGTAGTGCAATCCCCTTCACCTAATTTAATAGTACAATCCCCTCCCGTCCCCGCCGATAAGGAACAATTGACCTTATTAACACTCATTTTATATGCACAGTATGTATCGAAAACCATCCTATGAAAATCCCATAATAGTACGACTTTATACAATCTTCCCACATAACGAGCCAATAATTATATAGAGGCAAAAGCAAGTAAATGACGAGGGCTAAAAGTGCGAAAATTGGAAAGAACCAAGCTAAACGTATGATGAAGACCAGATTGTGCACCTTTACCGTAGCACATATACTACTTATCTCAACGTTTTGGTATCCTTCATAGAGGTAACAATCGATCCAGGGCGATTTTTGCAGCCCGGCCTTTAAATAATGTAAGCCAAAAAATTTGGATTACCTTTGTGCTACAAAGTTTCTTATCCGCGAGGAAGTTAGCCGTGGTACTATTAAGACTCAATCCCATACACTGCATACCCGAATTACAGTGATCTTTTTAAGCTGACCACCATAAGTGCAAAGACTCTTGCCCGACTATAGCAGCCACAAACTTTAATAATTGTTCAAAGCTGTCATTAAAAGCTCAAAAAAATTACTAACATAGGTGTGTAAGTCATTATACAACTTTCCTATGACACTTGAATACTGCCCCAGTCAAGATATACAAAAACTATTTTCAGGCCCTTCCGACCTTGTAAAACCACATACCTCTAATGAAAGGCTGATAGTATCAACACATTCAGCATAACCTGATTACAGAAAAATATTACATTACACCATGAAACAGGTAAACAAACCCTTTCAAGGAACCAAGGAAAAAGGACGTCTCCACCTTCATCCACCCTTCCATTCTGAGAATGGCCACTGTTTTTATACCGTTGATCGGATTTACACTCAAATTTTTCCTGATATTTCCAGAACACCAGAGTTTTCGACATAGCGCCATTTCATCGGCCATTTGACCCGAGATGACATAAACCAAATCCTCTTATGTTTCAAAGATCACTGTGCCCTTGCAATTTTAGAAAACTGTGTAAAATGAAAAAAGGTGAGGGGATTCTCCGGAGTTGGGAGGTTTATAAATATCGTAATCACATGAATGTGAAAAAATGAAGCGTCGGGAATTATCGATATTGGTATTTTCTTACGTAAGGTCCCCAAGCCAACTAAAACGTCGTATGTCGTTGAAAACACAAAAGCTCCGTTATACATGGCATATATTTCTACGGTACTCTCGGGCTTCTAAAGCTCGTTTGCACCGTTGGAAAAGTCCAAACTTTTTCGCTTTATTAATGTTCCATTGCTCTCGTACGGAGACTCAAACTTTTCAACCCCCAAATTACTCAACTTATCGGCAACATAAGTCCAATTTAATTGAGTTTCGTCTAATGCCCTATTAACACATCGACAGTCCAAACTATGAATTTATTTATGTAACTCTTTTCTGCATGTGCAATATAAAATCGTAGTCGTAGTCTTGGAGATCCGACAGTATGGTTGGCATCAAATTATCTTGGCCAAAATCCAAAGCTCGGAGCATTTTAAATATTATATTAAGCTGTGTCACATGTTTGACATACACTTTTAGTAATTTTTAAGGCGAATTCGTATCAAACTCATGTGTCAAAAGCGGTTAACATAACCGATTGATCATTTTTTACGGGGACGTTCGTATGAAATATGTTTTGATAAACAAGTCGTAGGTAGAAACACTCTACCTGCTGTTAAAATAACGACACCGCACTTTAAAATTCCCTTTTCATGTTATAACTTATTCTCGGTTTGACCTGACACTTACTGATTGCATCATCGTTAAAATGATTGATGAATCGAACAAAACTTGTCACTGTCAAAAACACCAAAAGAGCAGCGCATCACGCTATTCCCAGAATCGTAAGATTTCGAAAACTCGAATTTCAGTTGAAAACTCGAGTTGACTATATGTGTATTAGCGAAATTAAAAAAGCGCAAACAACAACACACTTGTCAAAGATCACATTATGCCAACGCCGGCTTTCACAATTGTTATTTTTTCAATCATCCTTCCACTCAGAGCAGAATGAAGGGACCCGTTTCTTAAGCTACTAATGATAAATTTACAGCCAATATCTTTTATTAAAAAATGCAACCTGTCATTGTTATGCTATTGTCTCCCGGCACGGCACTGATCTCTGTCTCACGAGCAATGCCGTAGAGACTTTGGAGAAATTAGACAATACCGGTCGTTTGAGTTCCCTAACAAGTTTACTTGTCCGCAAAAGCCTCATAAACGAGTGCTCCTTTAATCTGTGGCCTATATAACCCACATCTCAACTTGCATTGAAAGCTCAAGTTTCAAACTACAAATCAACGCCATAAGTTATCAACAGTGAATCAGAAACCCGTCTCAAGTTCATCATTTATTCTTTGTGGTCTCAACTGTTTCGCTTTCGACAGCCTCGAACTCTGTCGTTCGGCGAAAACCCACCGGCCCACGTTCCCCGCTGGGGGGTAGGTAGCGGGTCTTCTCCGCGAACCTTGTCATCTATCAGGCAACGATGAGAAAAAAAAGTGATGCCACGTCAAACGCGGAAACCGGCCGTCAACAAATCGTCTATATAAAGACTGTCGGAGTCGAAGCGAAAATTCAGATGGAGTAACGATGGTTAACGGGGGGTTAGTGCGTGGGCTGGGCATTTTCGAACCAGTTTGGAATTTAGACACGGTTCTTAATAGCGTGTATCTGATCGAGTTTCAGTACGGGTAATGGACTTCAATCATTTTAAAGTCTGCAATGATATCATTGAGACCAATGACACTTCAAAAAATGCATTTCGCGTTATCTCTTTCCTTACACATTCTTCATTTCATCCTATCAATTTCAGCAATGAACCGGTATATCATTCTCGCCGCCTTAGTCCTGGCTGTGGCCTTCGCCGCCCCCGCACCAAAGGAGGAGGACAAGAAGGAAGCTCCAGCCGCCGCAAAGACTGAGGAAAAGAAAGCCGACACCGAAGATCTCCCCAAATACGTCGGAGGACCAATCGCCAAGATCTACAGAGACCTGAATGCCGAGCAAAAGAAGGAAGTCGATGTGATCCTGAAGGACTCGGAGAAGGACACCAAGAAGGTGTTCTACGCCAAGATCAAGGCCTTCAACGACAAATTGGACGCCAAATTGAAGAAGGTCTTGGATGATGACAAGAACAACTTCGAGGAGTTCAAGAAGCAGATCCGCGAGAAGTCCAAGAAACTGGACAAGGAAGGAAAAGCCTTGTACGAGGACCTGAAGAAGAACTTCGAGAACGAGGACCAGACTTTCGAGGAGGAGCACAACAACTTGGTCAAGATCATCAAGGGCGCCCCCAAGCCGGCCGTCGAGCAGTTCCAGAAGGCCGAGATTCCATTGCCCAAGATTGAATAGATTATTTAGTTTGTAAACATGTCGACAAATTTTTTCGGAGAGTGTAAATTAATAAACTGGTAGTTTCATCATTCTTGTATTGTTGTTTCTGGGAAATTTTTTCTTGTGATTTTTTTTGTAAAATGGAAGTAAAAGTCGATCCGACTTTACTAGCAATGTAACGAAAAATCAAAACGTTACTTGTCAATAGTAAAATAAGTCGTATTGTACCGAAATCAAAATTTTTTACCATGAACCGCGATGACCTTCAAAACATTTCAATTTTTATTCGTTTTTCTTTCAAACCGTTCAAAAACAGAGAACAAATTGAACGATCAAGGCTAAAAACCGATGCGGGCATCGAAGAAAGTTGTGAAAATCAAAACCATCTCTCCGCAAACATCAAGCGAGAGGACTTCTGAAGGACGAATGATGAAAGTTATTGGTGATAGACTGGTTAACAAACTTCAAGCAGTTTCTTTTTGGGGGTTAGAACTTGAAACTAACAGAATAAACATCAATAATTTTGCAAAAACATCAAAAATTTCACAAGGAAAGTACTTCTATGGGGTATGGAGTTACCGGTCGAGATATATACCAAAAAATCGCAATTTTTTTCCGATTCAGAATACGTAAAAATTAGCTGCCGAATTTTGGTTTGTAAGGGTGAAAAAATCCACAGAACCTGTCTCAAAACACCACGCAACTGCCCCTTTTTTACATTGCAACTACTAATTAACGCTCAAAAACAAGCGTCTGATTTGGTAAAAACTTGGTTAAAAAGGCATTTGCGTGGTGTTGCGGGAAAAGTTCAGTGGATTTTTTCACCCTTACAAACCAAAACTAGGCAGCTAATTTTTACATATTCTGAATCAGAAAATTTTTGCGAATTTTTTGATATATATCTCGACCGGTACCCGATAAAAGCACATTCCTTGCGAGAAAAAATCAAAAATTTTTTAAAAAATTTGACTACCTACCCCCATGATATTTTGACATATTATACTTGATAATGCATCAAAAAATCAAGCAAGTTAAAAAAAATTTTGGCTTTATTTAGCCGTAAACAAAGCGAATATCCCTAAACGCAGACATTCGCAAAACAAAAGACAGACTTTACTTGGTTCTACTTCTGTTGGCGTTGCTCTTTGATCATCTGGACCAACTTCTTATACCGGACCATGCACTGTTTCTTGGTTTTTCCGTCCACTTGCTCTGCAATCTTCTCCCATCTTTGTGGGTCTTTCGAATCTATGGTTTTCAGAGAAGTTTCGAGTTGTTTTTGCTGTTCGGCCGACCATTTATCTTCCTCCTTCTCCGCGGGAACAGCTACGGTTGGTTCGGCGCTAATTTTTGGGACATTGGCTTGAGCATTCAGCCCCGGGACCGTTGACGGGCCTGCTTCAACATTGGCGAAAGCGGCACTAGCCTCCATGGACTTCATTATTTTGGCCTAAAATTGAAAAAAAAAATCACAAAAAAAAAACAAAAAAACGCATAAAATAATATAAACAGACGGTCCAAAAAGCCCTTACCTGTCGGATAATATCTTTTTCCGTTTTGGGCTTAGCTGATGGAGTTGTGACATGCTCATTAATGTATCTAGTGACCTGAGTCCATCGTTCCACACTACCAGCTGGATGAAGATTACAGGCCTTGATCAGAAGTTGTGCTTCCTCATGAGTCCACTTTGCAGGTTGATTTGAAGGTGCCGCTGGCTTATCTTCCTTTGGTTTTTGCGCTTGTGGCTTTTCTTCTCTCTAAAATTCCATGTGTAATACAATTTTAGGGCCATTTCAGAATTTCCAGCCTAAAAACGAAGAAAACAAAATAAAAAACTACTTACTTTAGATCCCAAAGCATCTAACGCCGAATCATAGCTGTCTATAACTTCCAACTTCTTCAAAACATCCTCCAACTCCTCGAAAGAATAGTTCAAACAAACTCTTTCCATACTCTCCATGATCTTCAGCTTAAGCTCCGGCTCGTCCGTCCAGAAGTCCTTGTCCTTGCACAAGTCTCGGACCTTCTTTCGTTGGCCTTGCATTAACTTTTTGGATTTCTGTCGCTCTTGTTGTTGTCTTTTTTCTTCCGCAACCTTCTCAAGACGTTCTTGCTCAAGTTTGTCGGCTTCTTCTTGTTCCTTCGCCCTCTTCTCTTGTTCCACACGTTCACGTTCGGCCCTCCTTCGTGCCTTCTCATCTTCCTTGGCCTTTTTGTCTTGTTCTTTGAAGGCTTTTACTCGAGGATCTTTGGAATACGCGGCTTCGACCAAACTCGATAAATTTTTGAGGTATTCCTTCCGCAATTTCTCTCTTTCTATCTAAAAACAGAAACACAATAAGATAAAACGTTTTCCTACCCGGTTTTGTTTCTCAATCTCTCGTCTTTCCCATCGATCTTCTCCTTTACTCTTGTCCTCTTCATCCTTATATGAGAACTCTCTCCAAGAGTTGAAATGCAGCCAGAAGTCATAAAAATCTTCAACCTCATCCCTCGTTGCATCTGGATCTCCGAGAAGTGGGACTGGCTGTTTAACGGAGAACCTAAAATCAAAAGGTAAACATCTTGACGTATCATGGATAAGGTAACGCAAGGAGAATATTATTTTGCGAAAAATTGCCACAAACCCGCTCAAGCAAGCCTTAAAAAACCTCAAGATTCAAAAGGAAACAGTAATGAGCATTATTTTCAATCCAAACATCAATCCTCATAAATAACATCCTTACCTGGCATGTCTTTCGAAGAATGGACCCAAAACCTTGAAGAAATTGTCTTTCTTGATCGACTTCTCCTCTGGATAGGTGTCATCAAACTTTGGATCAACAGAATCATAAGAACGGCGAAGACTTTCTTCCATTCCAAGCTGCTCATAAGCCTTTTGGATACAAGCGAAAATCGTCTCGTTCCTAGTTCCATTTTTACTCGCTTTTCCTTTATCCGGATGCCAGACCAATACTTTCTGCCGATCTGAAAGATACACTTGATTATATTCGGCTTGCCTACAGAAAATCACATATTTCGTAGACCTGCTACCTAAAAATCAAAAACAATATAAATCAAAAAAACTCACAAGCAGTCTTAATCTGAGCTGCAGTAGCCTTGTATCTCAGCTTATTCAGGCCCAAAACTCTGTAATGGTCCTGGTCTTTCCAGTCATTGGGGTCCAATTTACTCATATAACGATGATATTTCTCGTCGTCTTTATCCATAAAGTCGCTAGCCTGCAGGTTCTCATCGTTCAGCTCTGGAGAGCTGGACTGACTTCGACTAGCGGCGGCTCCCTTCACAACGGGATGCGGATTCAATCCCAGTGCCAGGAGATCACGGACCAAATCACATTCATAGGCATGCCCAGCAGCTTCTACTTTTCGAACTCTAAGCTGTCTAAAGCCGTACACAGCAACGGCTTGATGATGAACGGTTGGTGAGGTCATTATTGGACGTTACAGACCGAGATTATGATAGAGTGTTGGTCAGGAGACCAAAATTGAGCGTGAACCCAAGTTGAGCCCTAAAATGAGGGGGAGGAAGATGAAAACGGCAGAAAAATACAATTTCACGCCATTAAACACATCGCGCAAGAATTATAAAGCATTTAGATAGAAGATGAGGTCACGTTTCAATCAATTCTGTCGAAACTAAAGCATAAAAAATAAGGTAAATTTAGTCACTTGAAAGTTTCAATAAATTGAACAAGGATTCAATGAATTATTCAATTTAGAAATAACTGTGAATAAAAAGCAAGGCTAATAGGACTAACGCGTTATAACTTCTTCACCACAAAGAAAAAACAGCCACCTAAAATCCGTTTCCCAGCTTTTTTTGATCGCACGCTGCGCCCTAGCTTAGGTTGCTGACTGAATAAAATTTTTATACGATGAAAGCTTTCCAAAGATGCCGGAAGTTTGTTGTAAAATTCCAAAATAATAAAAGGAGTGGTGTTTATAGGACACTTTAAGACCACTTTGGAGCTTTTTATTTACATCTAGCAGTTCCATTGCGCATTTTTTAAACTTGAAGATAACTGTCAAGTACAATATCAAAAAGACGCCCTTGTCAGCAAGTATGACACAGATGCCTTGCAACGTTATTACTGGTCACTTCTGCAGATCAAATTACAACCTTGGTAATTAATACTTCCCCAAAAAACAAGCAAGTAAAAATAGTATAATAAAATTTACGACAAACAGCTGTTCGGCCAGTTTTTCAGCGCTCGGAGCGGATCGAACAAAAGACGAAAAACATTGAATTTCACATTAAATAGTTCTTATGGCTCTGTGAAGTAAGTGGTCGAGTGATAAGGTGGCTGCGGAGCTTGGAAATTGGTTTGCGACCTTATTTTAGTCATTCTTGGTGCCTGATTATATTATACTTGATAAAGTGACCAAAAAATCGTTGTTTTTTGACGTTTAAAGCTCTGTTATATCAAGCCCAACTCTTCTACGTTGCCGTCGATCCATTTTTGATATAAAAAACTGCTGACAATTGTATTTTCCACCCAATTTTTACACTTCCCCCTCTTTTCTCATCTAAAACAATTTTTACTGCAAATAAAACTTGGTTTATGATTTATTTCCCAATAACCCAGCCAAAGGTATCTATTTTTGATCAGAGTTTTCGATTTGAACTCGCAAATACAACTACCGCGCGAGTAATTCCTCTTTTCGGGCTTTGTTTTTGCGGGTGTTTGTGTAAAATTAGGTGAAATTGGGGTGAGTAATACCGTTGGCTGCTGCTTCAAAGTGCATGCGGAATGTGAGGAGAGCTGGTTGATGAGCTATGGGGTTCTGGAAATTCAACTTTATAACATTTTTTACATTTTTTTTGATTACTTTCAAAAAAAATTTTTAAAAAAACTTTAAATTTTAGGGGAAATATAACTCCAGCTTGTTGCTAAAGCCTTTAATTTGCCACATTCTTAATTTTAAAATCCCATCTTCCCTGTTACACAGCAAAAAATGCAAAAAAATCCAACTTTTTTACCTACTATAATATTTGTCGCATCAAAATACCCCCTTTATCCGCTTCCTGATCTCCCCTCATTCTCTCCGAATAAACTGTAATCAAATCCAGATGGATCCACCGAAAGTTCGTTTTGATCCCGAAGATTTTCTCGCGCCCACCTACTGGGATCGGCTCAAACGCGGCTCGCCGGCGTACGCAAAGCAGCGCGGGACGTTCGCGGGATTCAGCGCGGAGATGCGCGGGACCAGGATTGATGCCAATGGTGAGCAATTAAAAAAAAATTTGGGCTATCGATGATTATCAGTCTGTCGGGAAAATAATGAGCATTCTGTCGCATCGAAAATCGCATCGCTCGCGGCAAAATCAAATTTTTTTCTCTTCAGCGACGCGACTGGCTCATTATTTTCCCGACAGACGGATATCTCATTAAATATTATTTGGTGTGAATTTTATGAACTTCTCTTTTTTAGAATGGATAAAAGCCCCTGAATTCGTCCCTAGAAGGAGTAATTATCCCCAGCAAGAATTCGACTTTGATCAATACAACTTTGCACAGCCTGCGGAATCTTATTACCCTGGAAATGGTAAGCAAATAGTCAAATACAAGGAGTTTCAATCTGTCGGGAAAATAATGAGCTCTTTCGCACTGAAAATCGCATCGCCGCAAAGAAAATGAATTGTGGCGCAGCAAAAGCAAATTGCTTTTTTCTTCAGCGACGCGATCGACATTGGGCTTATTATTTTCCCGACAGTCTGATAAAAGAGGTCATATTTATACTACAAGTCCGCAGGGGCCAAAAAATACTCATATGTTTTCACATGGTGCGAGCGCATGCTTTTTTGCATGGTCGACTCCCCTTGTTTTGCGTACTCTCTCACAACAAAATTGGTGGATATCTCGGCAACGGTTGCAAAATGCGAGCCAAAAGTATAGGGAATTGATATGAGGCAGTTTGCTTAGGGTCTGCGACATAGAATTACTTCTAGGTCTGCCAAGTGATTCATAAAACTTTATTTTTTTACCAGTATGTCGGGAAAATAGTAACCGGAATCTAGCTCCGCCAATCGTGTCACTGAAGTGAAAAGAAATTTGATTTTGTCGCAACACAATTCATTTTCCCCGTGGCGATGCGATTTTCAATGCGACAGATTGCTCATTATTTTCCCGACAGACTGATATCCACTACAATATTTTCAAGTTCCAAAAACAGAAAAAAAATCGAATTGACTGTTACAGCATCACAACCAATTTTTTTCTTCCAGCGATCCCTCCACTACCTCATCAATTCCCCTTGCAACACCCTATGCTAACAACTTCCATGTCCATTCCGGTCCAGCCGGGCCAATTTCCGTTCGTGCAGCAGGTTGGAAATGGGTATTCGGCCTATGTTACCGCCCTCAATGGTAATCTTGTTTTACCATTTTCATCTTCAAAAAAGATGTATCCCTCTTTTTGACCCCATGAAATCTCAAAACATGATATTTCGGAGGTCGTTTTGACACTTTTTATCGGATTCCTCTTTTCTTTCATGGGAAATTCTTTGAAAAAGCGGCCGGAAAAGTTCCCAAGAGATTGATGAAGGCGTTTTGTTTCGAAGAGAGATAATAATCACAGACGGATCGAACACGCCGTGAAAGTCCCAATGTTTCGGGTTGAAAAACGTTCCAAACTTTTTGCGAACAACCAAAAGATAATGGGATTTTCAAGTGGATTCTTTATTTTTAAAGCTGTCGGGAAAATAATGAGCACTCTGTCGTGTCGGAAATCGCCAGGAAAATGAATTGTCTCGCGGCAAAATCAAATTGCTTTTCTCTTCAGCCACGCGACTGTCGCAGCGACATTGTGCTCATTATTTTCCCGACAGACTGATAAAAGGTTATATTGGAGTTTATGAATAGTAGAGAGATCCATTTGAATCTCAATAGAAATAGCTGTAAAGTTTTTTTTTGAATCCCACATTTCCAGGCGATCCCAATTCAACCGCGATTATTTTGAAGAAAAGGAGGAGAAGAAGAAAGAAGAATAAAAATAACGGTGATAATCAGCACGAGGACACGGTGGATGTAAGCCTTAATCTTTCATTTTATCCAACAAAGGGGTGTTTCAAGTCCGCCGCTGAGATTTTCCTTAAGCGTTGCAACGGAATTATAAGTCTGCTATATTTTAGCTCGCGCTTTGCAGTGACAGCAGAGGTATTCAGTGCTCAATGTCATCGGGAGTGCGCAAAACACGCTGAACAGTCAGATCGAAAAATGCGTTTTTGCCTTATAAGGCCCCGGCTTCAACCATTTTTTGAACCTCCTCGGAGAAACCCCGGATTTCTTGTTTTACAGAAAGTGTTTTCTTTCTGATTGCTTTCAATTTCTGGACTGGGGACTTTTTCCACATGTACAGCTACATGCGAAAATTTTGCCTTGTTTCAACCTTACCGACTTTTTTAATTCAACTCTATCTCAGCGCGGCACTGAGTTATACTACAGTAGGGTACCTGATCCAGTGACAAAAAATGTTCAATTTTGCTTCCGGGAAGGAAAAAAATGTGGCAAAATGCTTCCTTCTCCAAGTGAAAAAACTTAGTTAGCGGGCGCGCTTTTGAAATCGGAGATCTTTCATTGGAGAGGGAAGCATTTTTCCACATTTTTGATACTTCCCGAATGCAAAATGGTACGTTTTTGCCACTGGATCAGGTCCCGCACTGTATTCCAAGAGTAAAGGTCTATTTGTAATTTCCAGATCCCCACTGATCCAGCAGCATCTTCAGTCAGTCCTGACAAGGAAATTTCGCCAAATTCAACTGATTCTCAGCGTCAACAAACGGAGAGCTCAGAAAAGCCAAGTTTGACGCGAACCGCTTCCGTGCCGGATATCAATTCCAAGGCTGCACAGGTCGGCTTAATTCTTTTATTTCAAAAATAAGCATCTTGAAATGCTAACAAGTATTTCAAAAAAGTGCATAGAAAATCAATTGATCATGAAGATATTTATTGCTTCATACTGTAAAAGAACTAGTTATATATAAGTTGTAAGCTGACTGTGAGATGTATTTTCCTGATGATATGTAGATAGATAGATGATAGATGAGATACTAAAAGTTCGCATTTATCACTCCTCCTTGCTTTTGCTCAATTTTTGCGAGAGCTTGTGGGCAAGTAGCCTGAGGGCAATTAGAATCATAAAAACTGCAATGATAGGTAGAACAATGAGAAGAGCGATCACATCGATGTTATAAAACTCAATAACGCCGAGGGTCCGGCCGGGGAGATCAAGGTGTTCGTGCAGTTCGTATTTAGCCGCGAATTCACAAGCCTTGACGATCCGCTCTTCCGGGCTTTGAGGCTTGTCTCTGATGATTTTCGAGAGCTTCTGGGACTTTTCTTTGTAGCTGAAATGGGAAATACTTGTATTATCCAGAGGAAAACCATATTTTCAAACTATTTAGCATAAGTGCGACGCTGATGTTGATAAAACCTGGTTAAAATTAAGGATAATTTTTTCGAAATTGTCAGTTTTTTTACGAATTGTGGCATAAAAATGACATGCTTAGTTATACTGTAGAGACCAATGTTTCCACAAAAAATCAATTTTTCCATCCGAAACTGACAACGATACGGAAAAAAAACTTTTTCTCTAACCGCACTCCGCCTTTTGCGTACTCTCTCGGCCGCAAAAGTCGTGGAATATCTCGGCTGCGCCAGCAAAGCGCGAGCTAAAATTTTCAGGAAATGATATATGGCCTGTGCGCGAAACGTATGCAAAATTTAAAGAAAATCTGAGCGTCCCACTAGGGGTTACATTCCTTGTGAATTTTCAACCATTTAGTAAATAATTCAACTAAAAAATCTCTGGCCTTTGTCAAATCAATCAATTTCTTACCTTTTGTTCTCAATAATTTCCTTCAAAGCCTTCTGAATCGCCTCTTTGGTCAGCTTGGATTTTTCCAACTGGACCGCAATCCCTTTTCTGACAACCATGTCCGCATTCCTGGGCTGTTCAGCAAAAACCGGCAAGCAGACCATAGGGACTCCCGAATACGTGGCCTCAGTCACCGAGTTCATTCCCGCGTGAGTCAGGAATGCCAGTGTTTTGGGATGTGCCAAAATTTCACGTTGAGGGAGCCATGTGCCGGTCACAATGTTCTCGATTCCCGCCGCTACATTATGCGAGGCGTTTTCGTATTTCCAAATGAACTGAACTTCGGGGAAAGAGGCGAACGCCTCAATGAAGGCTTGTTTGAAGGCGTCTGGCATCAATGAGGACTGCATCATTGATCCGAATGAGACGTAGATTACGCCTTTTTGGGCTTTTTCAAACACTTTCTTGAACTCCCCGTCCAACTCTCCAGTCTTCGCCATCGCTCTCCTCATCCCGTAGCCGGCAACGTTGATGTATTTGTGGGAGATTGGGCGCGGATAATCGACAAATTCGTCTGCGTTGACCAGAAAAAACGAGGATCTGGCAATGAGCTCCTAAACAAATTTTCTGATTTTTTAAAACTATAGCTTACTCTGTAATCTGGACGTCCAGGCACCAAACTAAACGCCTTCCCGATTTCCCCAGTAAACGCCGGCATGATAAACTGTTTTCCCATAAAATACGTAAAGAAATTCTTTAATCTTCCGCTGAATCCGTCGATCCCTCGCCCGAAAAGGTCGGGCACAAAGCTGGTTGGGGTCGGAATCCCAAGACCACTTGACTCCGGCAAAAACATTGAGGAGCCGATGATGGCAACCGTCTTGTTCAAGCCGATTTTTTCGAAAATCCCGTAGCCACAAACGTCGAACGTCTCGGAAAGTCCAACGTCAAATTTTTCGTTGCGCAATTCTTCCATTAGGCCTTCGTCTTTCAGCTGATATTCGCAGGTCCCTCGGAATTTACTTCCGATCAGTTTCATCATCTGTAAAGCGAATCCATTGAGTAAGAGAGTGGGGAAAAGATTGTATTAATTGTAATATAGCAGCTGAAACCTTGACCTTTTTTCTGTCGGGAAAATAATGGGCACAATGTCGCTGCGCCGGTCGTGTCGCTGAAGTGAAAAAGCGATTTGATTTTGCCGCGACACAATTCATTTTCTCGGCGATTTTTTATGCGACAGAATGCACATTATTTTCCCGACAGACTGATATTTATCGGCGGCCCTCAGGAAGCGACGACCCGCCGTTATTTTCCCGACAAACTGATAGACAAGAAATTTTACCCGGGTCGACCGGGCCGCTTCCAAAATTTTCATGGCCTTCGAAATTTTGGCCCGGGCTTGCGGCCATGCTTTCTTCAGACGGGTTGAGCTCTCGATACTATAAATATCAGTCTGTCGGGAAAATAATACAGGGTGGGGCATCTTTGTGGCCCGATTTGAATTGGATATAACTTCTTTAGTTCTCAAATCTTAAAATTCTTTTTTTCCCTGAATCCTCATCCAACCCCATTTTGTTTCATACCAAATATGTCATACATAGTAAGTGTCATCTACAGTTATTGGATTTATTCTTCGAGTTCATTTTTTCGATCGTTTTTCGGTTGTTTTTTTGGTCTTTCCCGGTGTGTCCAAAAATGGAGTACGGTGTGGAAGCAAAAGCTTGGTCTATGGTTTGGTATGGCAAGTACGGTTTGGCGATAAATGTTCAAGGAAATACGGACGTAATGCCTAACCTCCAGATCGCAAGACAATTCGACGTTGGTGGAACAAGTTCCTTGAGACTGGCAGCGTTAACAGTAAACAAAAAAAGCAGGAAAGATGGGTACGAACGGAGCTGAAAAATTTAGAAGCTTTGTCAAAATTCCGAGAAAATCCGCATATGAGTACACGAAGTTTGGTCAAAACCGAGCGAATGCCTTCACCAAGGACCATTCGACGAATTCTGGAGGTTGATTTTCTTTTTTTCTTCTTATTCTCATCGTCGATTTTCGGGAGGTGAAATTCCACCGTATTTTTCTTCCGCACCGTACTCCATTTCCGGACACACCGGGAAAGACCGAAAGAACAACCAAAAAACGACCGAAAAAATGAACTCCAAGAATAACTCCAATAACTTTGGATGACACTTACTATGTATAACATATTTGGTATCAAACAAAATGGGGTTGTCTGAGGATTCAGGTAAAAAAAGAATTTTAAGACTTGGGCTAGAACTAAAGAAGTTATAGCCAATTCAAATCGGACCACAAAGATGCCCCAACCCTGACTCATCGAAAATTAGCTTGCAGCCATGCTTACACAGTCCCTCCTTCCTGTCTCAAGCACTCCCCTGACTAAACTTTGACAACCCACATCAAACTTACGTCTAAAGTATTGAAAAAGCCCGTGAACTCCTCCACCCAGAAGTTTTTTGTCGGGTTTTCGAACTTGTAGTCCAAGTCTCTGGTGATCAGTCGAATGCTTTTGTGGGTATGGCCCGGTTTTAACTCAGGGCTGATATTCAGCTGCAGGACTACCTAAAACAACAAAAATTACTCCATTTTCTGGCCAAAAAACGGGTTTTTCTTCCAAGGAACAGATTTCTCACCACTTCATGCCCAGCATAGGCTAGTTCGTCAGCGATTTTGCCCACCAACATGGCATGACTGGCTCCGAATTTGGGGTTGTACACCAAGTACTTGAAGGCCTCAGAACATGTTACATACAAGAATAGTAGAGCTAGAAATCTCATTATGGCACTGAGCGATCCACATAGGAGTTAGTGGACGTACGACACAGGCAAAACGGCCGTCTGCCCGTTGCTCGGCGCTAGATAACCTAAATTAACGTAGAAATTAGTCCAAAATGTGCTTTGTAATACAAAAAATACACCGAAAACAAGGTTTAAGTGGTAAAACAATGTCGACATGAGGGCACAAAACGAGAATGTTGTACTACAAGCCCTTCACGCGCCTTCAAAACAAGTACAAGGGGTATGGATTCAATCTTGACACAACAAGTTGGTAAAAAACCTTGCCGTCTCGCAAAGACTGGCCTCCTATATATAGTAAGGTGCGAAAGGGGCAAAAAACTTCTCGTTTATCAATTAAGATTGTGCTCCGCATGCACAGAACACGAGTGTGCGCGAGTTGAAGTTTTGATCGGAGCGGGAAATTTCCAAAAAGAAACGTTTTCGATCTTCGGCTAGCAAAGCAACCAAGATCAGTGAACTCTAAACCGTCCGATATCACCGAGGGATGTTTGATTCGCTGTGGTTACATATAATCAGGGCATGTGTAGGGTCAGGCCAAGGGGGAGGTTTTTTGAGCACAGAAAAAAATTGTTTAAGCTCTGTAACTAGGATTTTTTATCAGGAGATTTCCAAATTGGCTTTGTTGCGGCACAATGCATTGTCTTGGTGGCGATGCGATTTTCAATGCGATAGTATGCTCATTTATTTTGCTGACAGGCCGATAAGGCATCACCAGAAGTTTCTTGTACTCTCCACACAGTTTTTTTCGACACCTTAATTGGTCGTGATATTTGAGGGCCATTTTAGAGTAATCAATCGCAAAATAGCTGGATTGCAAAGGCTCCAGGTGCAGTAAAAAATTTGAATGGCATCATAGACTCTCTAAGCCCCTAAGTAGGCCTAATCTAAGCCTAAACTTCGTTGCATTAATCAGCGTCCAAAGCTTTTGCGATTCAGTCTCAATGGCCAAAATTGTGTTTATTACTACTAAATTTTAAAACTGAATTATTTACAATTAATAGTTATTGGAGCATAAGTTTGTCGGAAAAACTGCTTTAAACCCTTTATTCTTTGTTTCAACGTTGATCTCCAACTTTTAACCGTTGGATTTGTTGTAGTTCAGCCGAGGAATGAACTGTGTTTGAACCCTTCAATGTCTATTTTATGAGATTTTCTTACTGCTTCAGAGCGGCGTATGATTTCCGTTTACTCTAACGGAATTCTCTCCAGCCGATTTCCAAGATGAACTTGTCTTTTTCCAAGTTGTAGTTTCTGATTGCTGTCTGAAAAGTCTTGTAGTGAGCACAAGACACTGGTGGCGTTAAGCGGGACGGAATGGAAAGCAAGTGTTAAATGGAAGGCAGTAATGTCATTAGGAACATAAGACATATCACAAAGACAGAAATGACAAGAAGGTTTTGATTGAATGGTAAGAACCCAAAGCATGTCAACCCACGGCCAATCAAAAAAGAGGAAAAGTGGGCATGTTGGCCACTTCACTGAGGCCGCCAATTATTTCCCACGAATTTGCATAGAATCAAAGGACAAAGTCTTTATCAGATCAATTTCCGCTATCCTCATATGTCGGTTTCTCGGTTCTCTCGTGCGGTTGTGTGTATTTCTCGTGTGTTGCCAATAAACCCTATTTCTTATTGTGTCTGCCTTCGCGTAGAGCATGGCTTGATCGTCCAAAAATTGTTTTTTCTTCGTTAAGGGCCAATCACAGTTTGTTTTTCGAAAAGGATTTGATTTTTCAGTTCCTTCCGTCTTTCTCACGACAGTTACTTCCATTTGCAGACCCTGCTGTAAACACTTCCATCCAACTTTTTTGATTGTTTGAATCCTGTGACGCTTTAGGCGTACAAAACAAGTCAAGTGGCCGCAAACACTGTTTAGCGTATCTTTTGGAACCCACGAACATAGCACCTAAACAAACTGAATCCAAATCCAAATTCACAAGCATTCAATTGCGTGGATTGAGCGGACACGAGAAATGTTGAGGATGTAGCTGTTCTGTTTGGATCTTTTTCCGGACATTTGAGTTATTCGAAGCCTGGGAAACGTTCCGTCATGCACCTGCGAATGCGGGCCGCCCTTTGTGGCGCAATTTTGATGACATTTATGGCAAGTCTTACAGTCTACTGCTTGGACAATTGTATCGACGAAGAGGGTGACAAGTGCCAAGAAAGCAAGTTGATGGCGGTCTGCGGTAAGCCCGAATACAAGCGTCTGATGACCAGTAAGTGCCGAAAAGCGTGCGGGTTCTGTCAGCCGGGCACCTGCACCGACACTACAACGGAATGCGGAAAGCCTTCGATCTCGGACATCTGCAATCATCCAACCTATCTCCGAATGATGAGGATGCGATGCCCGGCGACTTGTGGACATTGCGATGGAGATGAGAAGCCGAACGGTGGCGGTAATCCGGATGACAACAAACCGGACGACAATAAGCCTGACGACAACAAGCCGGATGATGGCGATGATGAGTGCATTGAAGGGGCGGAATAGACGATATTTATCGGTCTGCTTATGTTTTTGCAACAGTATGAGAATAAAAAGAAACACCGTTGTAAATGAAATTGTAAAAGACGTAATAATTGTATCAGTTTGTTGGTAAATTGGGAAGTAGAATTTCTAGTTATTGACATAATTTACGTATAATATGTGGGTGTTGTAGTTTATAAATAACCATTCGTCGAATTTGAAATACGTACGCCACAGAGAGGCAATGTTTGTAGATCGGTCTGGATTTGTGGACAAACTGAAAGACCCAGGTTAAAAATATAAGGAATGACGTATCGCGATATATCGTACAAAAACGTTACATTTGACAGAACTTTGCGAGCAAGGAAACAAAGTGAAGTGTAGATAGTGGGCCGTCTTTGAATTTGGCATACAGTAGAACCTCCATACAATAGCTGGGTTCATGGCCTGTAGAACCGGCTGTATCCGAAGGCTAGACTAGTTGTATCTGCAATAAATTTCTGTTATGGCCACCGATTCTAATCCATTTTTCCTCCGTCCACATCGTCTCCAAAAAACAATTTGTCATAAAATTTATGAGCGTCGGATTATGCCATAAAGCCGGTGCGAAAACATTTCCCTTCAACGTATCACTCCTCACGCCGGCCCACTTTGAAAACACTTGGAGCAAAAGAGGCCAGGAAGAAGTGGGTACTGAAACGGAGCGGCTGACCAGTATTCCCTGCCCATTTCAAGGAGCGGTGGAATGTTTTCAAAATTTTCTTTTCCTTTTTCAAATTTTTGTGGCCAGAAACAGACCGAAGAAAAGTGGCGTTTGGAGGCTAAATTGGGTTAGTTTTGGGAAGGAATGGGAGATTTTTGGGTCTTATAAAGATGAGGATTGGCTGGTTTTATACTCACAAGGAAGGTACTCCACGTGCGACGCTCAGATTTTGATCAAATTGGCTCAGATTTGGAATATTTTTTTCTGAAACATATCTGAGACTCCTAGCTCTTTGCAGAAACGACCGAGACGCTTTAGCTAAAAATTGGCAAAACTGTGGCACTTTTTTTTGAAAATTTCAAAAGCTTCATACCTATTTGTACCCTAGAGTGTGGTGATTCCACAAAGAAGATTTTTTCCGCAAGAAACTGACTAAAATATGGCCAAAAGTAATTGCTTTCTATGACTTCCCTCCGCGTTTTTCCGTACATCTCGGCCGCAAAGATTGCTGACCATTCCCTCGTGAATATTGCGACCGTTGCTGGAAAAAGTGAGATTGCATTTTCAAAACTTGTTATGTCATCTCTCACAAAAATACGTGCAAAATTTAAAGAAAGTCTGAGCGTCGCACATGGGGCACTTCCCTTGCCAGTATCAGCCTGTCGGGAAAATAATGAGCACTCTGTAACTCGCATCGTCGCCAAGAAAATGAATTGTGTCGCGGCAAAATCAAACTCCTCTTCACTTCAGCGACGCGATTGGCGCTTCATTGCGCTCATTATTTTCCCGACAGAATGAAAAATATTTTTTCTCAGTTTTGCAGCTCTATTTACATGCCAGCCTCGTCTCCTGCAAAACATATGCTAGGATCTATTTTTGACCCAGCCTCCCCCTCATTACCATCTCATCGTTGTACCCGTTACCATCTTTTCAAATGCCATGAATATTCATACTGACGTATGGATTCCCCGAACGGCGCTAAAGAGTTCGCGGCTGCTCGCAAAGCCGCCCAACGTCGTTTACTTTTCATTGGCCTCCGGGGAAATTACGCTGCTTTTCGTTTTTTGTTTATACGAAACTGTACGCGGGAACGGGGCTCCGTTTCGTTTCGTTGTTTTTGACGATTACTCATGCTGTCTTTGCTCCTCCGAAGACTTCGTAGATTTGTTTCTTTTGAGGAATGTGTATGAGTGGAGGTGGGAAGAAAATATTGTATCATTCTGTCGGGAAAATAAGGGGTAAAATTTCGCTGCGTCGACCGCATCGCTGAACTAAAAAGCAACTTCATTTTTTTGCGACACAGTTCATTTTCTCGACGATGATGCGATTTTCGCTGCGAGAGAGTGCTCATTATTTTCCCGACAGACTGATATCACTTTTGAAGAGGCTTCATCTCTATAAAATGGAGCGTTAACCCAAAGTAACCGCCTCTAATTAACTCCAAACCGTCGTTTATAGCTTTCAAATGGAAGTGATGACCTCAAATGGTCTAGACCAAAGTTTCTAGACCAATCTCCGCGCCTTCCATTCCATTCCGAGTCCATTTGGTTTTCCCGATTCCGGTTGCTTGGGCCGAAAATCCAATTAGGATCGGGAAAGCGTCTTGCGGTTTGTGGCCATGCCATTGCCAAGTGACCAGTGCGTTTGGGTGTAAATATGGACATGAGGAAAGAAGAGGGGAGAGCTATGACATCTGCCGGTCTTACGGAAGATCTGTTGGGATTATGGCAAAATTCTAAAAGAGGTTTTAGTATCATTTTGCCGGGAAAATAATGAGGCAATCTCGCTGTCGTGTCGCTGATGTAAAAAGATCATTTTCTCGACGGCGATGCGATTTTTGATGCGACAGAATGCTCATTATTTTCCCGACAGGTTCATAATAGTCTGTCGGGAAAATAATGTGGATTAGTGGTCAGTCGGGAAAATAATGTGGATTTGTCGTTTGTCGGGAAAATTATGCGGATTTTTCGTATGTCGGGAAAAAATGTGCATTTCTCGTCTGTCGGGAAAATAATGTGGTCGCGAATCAAATTTCCGGCTAGCCGTGGCAAAACGGTTGATGCAATTTCAGACGCCACAAAGTGCCCTTTATTTTCCCGACAGACTGATATATCACATATTTTGGGTGATTGCTTACGACATCACCTTAAAAATGCGAATCGCATGATATAGTTGTACTGTCCTTGTCGCACAAAGCCTTATTGTTAGAATCAGCCCTCTGTACTCACCCTACACTTGGTGGCAGGTCCATCCTGTTCGCTTCACTGACAATGTCATATATATATATTATAGTATAGCGCTCAAAAATTCCTCAGTATTCTATATAAAGCCGCTTTCTTCCATTTTTTATGATTAAATTTCCATTTTTACGACGTCTTCATAAAATCGCCGGCCATTGCCCATGTTTTGTTGGCCACAGAGATTTTTTAACGGCCCCCCAATTTTTCGGACAGATCTCTCTGGGCAATTGATGAGTAAAGGGCGTTCTCTGTTCTTTTCCGGCTTGAATTCGAAACCTATAGTTCGTGGAGGGTTTTGAGTGATAAATATGGCCGATTAGCAGAAGCGACGGACACTTTTCGGAGAGGTAATTGAGTTTGTGACTCTTGAACTTGAGATTGGTTGGGTGGGAGGAAGTGTTAGTGTTTTTTTGGCTCGAAATTAATGTTTATACGTTTGATAGGGAGGTTATGGCGTTATAAAGGAAATTTGGGATTAAGCACGTTTTTAAAGGCCTTAGAAAATCATATGTACAATTTTTTTCTGAATTTTTAAAACCGTTTATGTCGGATCTCTGTATTTTCAGAATCGTTTATGCCCGATATAACCTCAATTGCCGGTTCACCTTGCCTTTCCTGCCGTTGCGCAGGCTTATTTGCATATTAGTCTGGGATGAGTAGACATCGAGGTTCGCATTAGCATTAGGTCGGTCTGACTCGATCTATCGGTGTTTTGGGTTGATAAAAATGGAGTTTTTCGGTGTCAACAAGCTTTTTCGGCAAAAATATTTCCTTTTTTTTATTTTTAGGGCTTTTCAGAGGTGATGTAAAGTATCATATTAAATATTTAGGAAATTTTCCCTTTTCTGTAACAAATCCCGGCAATCATTCTGTCGGGAAAATAATGAGCGCTCAGTCGCATCAAAAATCGAATTGCCGCTGAGAAAATGAATTGTGTCGCGATAAAGTCAATTTTTTTTACTTCAGCGACGCGATTGGCGACATTGTGCTCATTATTTTCCCGACAGACTGATATCTCAAGCCTTTCACTTCGTTTCTGACCGTTTTTTGGTCATCAAAGTGCAGTAACCCGAGTCGGCGGCTCATTTTCCTTTATTCTCTTACTGTTTTCTCATAAAATCCCATCTTCGGCACGCACTCCGAGTTTCGAAACTCCGCTGACCCTTAGTTCCGCAAATAGGCCATCGGACAAAAACAACCCGCTCTTCCGTGCAAACCCGGCTCCCAATTTGGCCCCCCTAACTCATTCATTCCCTAATGCCTCACGCGAATAATGGAGAAACTCGCGTTGGGGCTGCACTTTCTTTCGGTGGCCAATTAGCCACGGGATTTCGCCGGAAAAACATGGGAAAAGCGCGTCGTTGTGAAGTGGGGGGCATTGTTTTCGCGCGCTTTGTCCCAGAGCAGCTTGTTCGGCGGATGAGACGCGTGGCTCTCGCGAGGCTCTCCTCTCATTTCCTTGCGGATTCTCATAACTTGCGAAAGAACCGAGGCTTGTCTAGCCTTTTGTTGGGAAGCGTCAAAACGCGATCGGGAGAGGTAAAGGGGAGAATTTTAATTTTTGGGATTTCCATATATAGGATTTGAAGCTTTTGGGGATAAAATATCAGTCTGTCGGGAAAATAATGAACATGTCGCATAAAAAATCGCATCGCCGTCGAGAAAATGAATTATGTCGCGGCAAATCATTTTTTTCATTTCAGCGATGCCAAATGGAGCAGCGAAATTATGCTCATTATCTTTCCGACAAACTGATTTCTCTTTTTTTAAACATTTTTTTGTCCGTAAATAACCGTTAGAGCATCGTTTTTGCTGATAATGATGAGTTATGTGTAAAATAGACCAAATTTTTTTAAAATTAGCCCCACAAAGTCAGTGAAAAAGTTATTCCAAGCCATGCGAAAGCAAAAAATCCCTTGCTGACCACCCATGCTCCACAATTTTTCGCCGAAATTTTCAGGCAATAAACATTTTTTGTGCGCGTCGGAACGTTCTCATCTTTTTTTTTCTGGTTTAATGTTCGGAATTTTACTCTTCTCCAAGAGTCGATAGGGTTTTTTTTGGGAAAGTAGTCATAGTCAGGAAGGATAGCGGTTTTTTGTAAACAATTTCCTGTTGGTTTTATGAAAAAATTTGATGAAACTGGGTTCAAATTTAGATTAATTTTACTTACGACATAAGTCGCAAATTTTTCAACCTATCTGGCACAAGTGCGACGCTGAGATTTTGATGAAACTTACAGGGGAAGTACTCCAAGTGCGACGCTCAGATTTTCTTTAAACTTTGCACACACGTCGGGTATGGACTGAATACCAATTCTTGAAAGTTTTAGCTCGCGCTTTGCGGGCGCCGCCGAGATTTCGAACGATTTTTGCCGCCGAGAGAGCACGCTAAACGTGGAGAGCGGTCAGGGAGAAACGCGCTTTTTGGCCATAAAGTTAGCAGTTTCGTGCGGAAAAAAGTCGATTTTTTGTAGAGACATTGTACTTTACGGTTGAAATAGGCATGAAACTTTTCGTGCCGAAATTCGGCAAAAAGTCGTAAACTATGGCCGACTTTTGATCTAAAAATCTCGGTTGTTTCAGCAAAGCGCGAGCTAGCATTCTCGCATATATCTTAGAAAAAATTATTCTAAATTTGTGCCAAGTTTCGTCAAAATCTGAGCGTCGCACTTGGAGTACTTCCCCTGTTAATACAAACTTCGAATAATTTTTTGAAAATATCTGCAAGTCTCCTATCCCGCCCTTTGCGGAAACGACCGAGATTTTTAGGTCGAAAATTTGAAAAAAATTGAGTCTTTCTTTTCAAATTTTGGCTGGAAAGTATTGATCTATTTCTACCGTAGACAGTAAAGTTTCCACAAAAAATAAATTTTTTTTGCGCGGAACTGATATAAAAATACGGCCAAAAAGTGCTTTTCTCTCTGACCGCTCTCCACATTTCGTACACTCTCTGGGATACAAAGATCGCTGAATGCAATTCTCTATTATTTTTCTTTTGATATTTTTTTCATGATTTTTGAACCCATCTTTTTCTCTCATTTGAACACAGTAAACTGCAAAAAAAACTTTAATTTTAATACGAAGATGTTCCTTCAGATGGAGCAATCGGTGGACGCCCGCCTCTTGCCCAACCACTCCTCCAATCTGCCCGAGCCGAATGGAAACGGAAACATGCGCGGCTCATGCCCCGATTTGTCGGATGATCAGCTGCGAATGTGGGATGACATCCTCTACAAGGCGATTCAGAACGAACGTGAAGCGCTGCAGAACAAAGAAGAGCATCTGAACAAGTTTCGGCGGAAAACCTTTGATCCGTCGATAACGCAGAGGGCCAGAAGTAACACACCGATGAATACGTCGAGTAAGTTAAAAATATATTTTTTTTTTGAATATAATTTTTATTTTTTATACTGATTACTTAAAAATTTATTGGTTGCGGTTTGCAGAAACAGTCGAAATAAAAAAAATTATCTTGAGAGAAAATTTATATTTTTTCTTTTGAAATCACGGGCTAAAAATTCTAGGAGTTGTTACATGTCAGGAGCACAATATTTTTATGAAAAATCAGTTTTTTTTCCCGAAACTGGCTTACGATTAGATGTCGCCAAAAGGCGTTTATTCTCTGCCCGCTCTCCGCATTTTTCGTACTCTCTCGGAAAATGATCGCTTTCTTGGCTGCGTCCGCAAAGTTGGACCTAAAATCGCGGGACATCAATCGATAAGAACTGTCTAGACAACATATGGGAAAATAAAAAAAAAATTTGACGATGAGACTTGCGCTTGGGGTACCATAAAAAATTTTAAAAAATATGATTTTTTTTGAAAGATCGGTCTGTCCTGAAAAAGATGAGCATCAAAAATCGCCTACAAGAAAATGAATTTTCGCGGAAAAATCAAATTGCTTTTCACCTCGCGATCGGCACAGCGACATTATGCTCATTATTTTCCCGACGGACTGATAAATACGCTCTTTTGAAGTTTTCTTTTCAATTGCTTTCACCAATTTTTTCAAAAAACTAATTGGAACACATAATTAATCTCATTTCTTCTTTTCAGTTTACGAGATTTGCGCCCCAGTTGATGTGGAGGGCAATGAAAACAACGATAATGTCCTGACAGGTGGCGAAGACGACTGCGATGAAAATGGCAATCTCTCAAATCCAAGTGAGTTTTAATACCCAATTTATTGCTTTTGAAGGTTTAGAAAATTTCCTTTTGCAAATCCCGAAAAATGATTGTTCTCGTGGTGAGACCGAAATCTTTAGTAATCATGACAAAATTACCATAGTCATACGATCAGACTGTTAATAAGATTTTTGATTTCAATAAAAAATAACAAAATTTCAACATAAAATTGGCAGTGGTATGGCCTAAAGTTTTTTCCTTGGCAGATCTCCGCTTTTGCGTACTCTCTCACAATGGAGGTCATTTTTTTTGCAGAACGACCCTTATTGGTGATCTAGTGGATGTTAAAGCCCCCGGGTGATGTAAAAAGACTTCCAAAAGCGTGTATGGGCCTAGTCGTGGTACTGGTCGCGCCATAAAATCCGTCGAATTTGCACAGAGCGTTTTCCGCCCGCCCTGCTTCCCATTTTTTGCACTAGTGACATGCACCTTATGCGAGCTCACCTAGCGACGCCGCCGAAAAAATTCAATGGACTTTATGTCCAGAGAATTTTTCGCGACTAATATTCAAAGGGTTTACGCGAAATTGAAAGAAATCCGAGCTGCGCCACTATTCAATTTGCTTGCTAATCTTAACAAATCTTCTTTTCAGCAACCTCCCTTGACGAAGCCTTCGATCTCCGTTCCAACTCCTCTTCAACAAAGGAAAACCAAGTCAACCCTCCCGCCAGAAACTCGGAAGACCTTGCCAAACGACTCCGCAAAGAGCTGGAGGACCTGCAATTCCGCAACACCTGCGAATGGCAAACCTCCAACGGCGAGGTGATGAAGATCAACACGAATCCACTGTTCGACGTGGGCGCCGAATTCCCGCAGAATCGGCGGAAATCGGTCGATTTCTCCGCTCGCCGCACCTCCACCCACTTCGACGCCGACAACTTCAACCCCACGCACATCACCAACTACGACGCGCACAAGCATCCGTTCGGCACGACCAGTCTGTACATGCCGAACGGCGAGAAGCCGAGCAAGTGCTCGTTCGAGGAGGACTACTTTGAAGGCATGAACATCCGTGTGAACCCGTTCGAGGAGAGCGACGACATCGCGTTGGAGGAGGCGGATTGCCCGCCAGCAACGCGTTTCCAACAACTTCAATGGGCGATTCAACGACAGAAGGACAAGTACAATGATCAGTTGCAAATGCCCGAGAGGGTGTGCTGCAATTTGATGTGACTGCCGATCATTACTTATAAGGGAGGTGCGTGAAGGGCGACACTCAAGTTTTGATGACATTTTGTGCGATATTCGGCCATACTAGTGGGCGCAAAAGTCCTTGGGATTTTTTGCGACTCTGCACGAAATCCCCAGAACTTTTTTGGCCTACTAGTATTTTTGGGGGGATATCAACCGTACCTTGAAAGCCAAGACATAACAGCCTGTCGGGAAAATAATGGGTACAGTGTCGGTGCGCCAATCGCATCGCTGAAGTGAAAAAAATTAATCGACACAATTCATTTTCTGCAATGCGATTTTCGATGCGACACAATGCTCATTATTTTCCCGACAGGCTCATATGTCTAAAGTTGACAAAAAAAAATGATTTTTCCCGCTTGGAAATGGAAGAAACGGAAAAAAAACCTTCTCTCTCTGAACACTCTCCACATTTTGCACCCCTTTTTTATTCGCAAGGTGATTGGTATACTAATCTATGGCCCGATTGCTTTATGGTCGAAATTTTTGCAAATACGGATGTCGCGCTTCAGGCACCTCTTCTGTTGGTTTTTTTATGAGCTCTCCAATTTTTACGAATATTTACTATAGATTTTGCATTTGTGGATCTTTCATCTCTGCAGTTTCTACTTTACTTTTCTCTGAGATTGTATCAGTCTGTCGGGAAAATAATGAACACAATGTCGCATTGAAAATCTCATCGCCGCTGAAAAAATGGATTTTTTTCGCGACAAAATCAAATTGCTTTTCAATAGTGAAATTGCTCATTATTTTCCCGACAGACTGGTAATGTCAAAAAATGGGTATCCGGCCACAATGGCCACAAAGATTATTCAGATAATAAACATTGAAAACAAAATTTGATTCATTATAACATTCAAAACATATACTCGTATTTGAAGGTTGAAGTAGAATAGAAGGCAATTTGGATGGTAGATTGGTTAGAGATGCAAGTTTTGATATAAAACCACCAATTATAGCTTCTATCCCCACTGACTTTGGAATTGCTTGAAGTACACAGACCCCTCGTCCGCTAGGGCCGGGCGGTTTTTGAAGATTTGGGCTTCAGTCGGCTCCTTGAAGCAACAGCTGAAATCACGTTTCAGGATTTCACGAAGTGGCGGCAACGATTGCAAAAAGATCAGCTCGTATCCGGTTGGCGATAGGTCCACGACGAAGACGTTGATCTGCAAAGGAATCATAAGGTTGGGAGGTTGGAAATTAGGTTACAAAAAATTTTATGTTTCAAGCTTGCGCAGTTATGGGATTCAAATTCATGAAAAATTAACTTTTTGATTGACGCTTTGCAGGGCTTTGAGTTTCTAGCCCAGCCTGCCGGTTTTGTAAAGAAAATTCCGATTTTTCGAGACTTCTCAAAAGAATAGCGAAATTCGAAAAAAAATCGCCGGAAAATATTGTATGATTACATTCAGAAGACCACACAAATGTGTGGTCTCTTCCACCAGAAAAAGAAAAATGGCTACTACACGTCAACATAAAAAGGGGATTTCGTCAACGGCGTAGCGATCCGCGAAATAAAGATTTCGCCTCTTTCTGTGCTTTGATTTCGAAAGGAAATCGGGCTTTCTTCCTTTTTTGTTCTATTAGGTTGTCCAACAAATAATGACCCTCTTCGAGAGGGGTAAAGTCTAAAGTCTCTAAACAAGGTAATCGATGATGGAATTTCGAAATATTACACCATTTTGTAGCTGAGATCTCAGGCTTTCGTTTGATGTATCGCTTGCCATATTTGGACCAAATTACAGTAATTTAGCTCTAATCCAAAATTATCGAAAAAAAGTCGGTTCGCGCTGTCATCTTGTACGAGCAAAAACAGGATGCGAAAGTTTCAGAAGCTACGTAAAGTATCAACGTCACGTTCGGCTAGTGCGTTCTGTGTCGGAATATGGTGAAACGGTGCTTTAAAAATTTTCGATCTGACGGCGAGGGACCCAAAGATAAAATACGGCATCCAGACTTTATGAATTTAGCCTGAGGTCATTGATTGACGCCCATCCTAGAATCAACATCCGACGCATCTGTGACATCGTCTGGGTGTTGAAATAATCGGGGGCTAACTATTCGACGTTGATTGAATTCAAAAAAATGCTGGGCAACTTGCTCCCACATTATTGGATCAAAGCAAAGAATGGAGGCGCGACATTTCCCATTTTTGCGAGCCGGAAAACAATTTTCCTGGATCAGATCGTGGCCTATGATGAAAAGCGGGTCTTCTACGACAATCAGACGAGATATGCCTAATGGAATTCTCCGAGGGCGTCACCGTGGCACTTGTCAAAGCCCGACTCCCCCAAAACAAGGTGATGACTACTTCTTGATGGTGCAGCGCAGGAATAGTAAAGTATAGCTTCTTGAAAGCTGGCCAAAATGTAAATACCATCCCCTATTGTATCCAGGTAGACAGTTTGTGGCAGCATCTGCCTTCAACGATGCGCCGCAGAAGTCCAAAAATTTTTCGCGGCAACAGGAACCTCACCGTTAAAAAATGACCTTCCAGAAGCCGATTTAATAGAGATACGAGACTGTCCCTCGTCCAGCGTATTTCTCAAAGCTGGCCTATACATACCACCATCTGTTCAAGAATCTAGCACGTTTCATCAGTGGTAGGGAATTCGACAATCAAGACGCCCTTGAAAAGGCCTTCAAAAGTTTCATTGGCTCCAGAAGCCGGGGTTTCTAAGCTACAGACATAAAAAGTTTTTTGGCACATTGTAATAAGCGTGTTAAAGCAAATGATAACTTTTTTGATTATACAGATCGCTGTTATTACGATAAATTTTGCCGAAAAGTAAATTTTTCAAAGAGGGTCATTATATTTGTTGGACAACCTAATATTTTCGCAGAGTGACGAGAGGAAGAGGGCGCGTGCACAAAGATAGAGAGAGCTGTCAGAGAAAGAAGGAAAAAATCAAAGTTGCTTTTTTGCTCCGCCGACGAAATTTCTTTTTTCTTTTATTTTCGTTCTTACGTGTACTAGTCCGTTCGCAAAGTCGCTGGAGCGATTTTGGCGACATGCCCTTGAGAAGACATGACACTGTGCAATGCTTGGCTTTTTGCACCGTGAAATAGGCTTTTTTGAGCTGTCGCTTGCATTTTGACTTTTTCTGCACAATGCATGCCGCAGCGATCACACCAGCAATTTCTAACGAACTATTATTCCTCCCCAGTCCCTAATCTCTTACCTCCAACAAGAGCAGAATCCGAGATGTGATCTGCTGGCTCACATACCAATCCCAAAACAGCAACAAACAAGTGAATACTCCGCTGTTCCCAATAATCATTACTCCCCACGTAATTGCGGGCACCAATCCCTTCAGCGCCATCACATTCTCCTGCAGCTGGTAGCGGCTGGACAGCCCCGTGTTCATTTGTCGCTGGAGCTTCTTGTTGATCTTGTAGATTCGTCGCATGATCGGGAGACCGATCAGCGTTACCGTTCCCATCGAGAACCAGCACCACAGCCGAATCTCGATGTATTTGTATTGCTTGACGCAGGTGAAGGTGTTGGTCACTAAAACTGTAAGTGGTTTGGCTACAGGTTGTCCGGAAAAGAGGCAGTTGACACACGACAAAAAGTTTACTGTACAAAGAATCACAATGGAAAAAATCATGCCGAAATTTGGTAAAAAGAGTCTCATTTTTTCCGACTTTTGATCTAAAAATCTCGGTGATTTCAGCGAAACGCGCGCTAGGACTCTCGCAGATATCTTGCAACGGAAGTACCCCAAGTGCGAAGCTCAGATTTTCCTTAAATTTTGCACACACTTCGGGCATAGACTAAGTATCAATTCCTCAAAGTTTTAGCTCGCACTTTGAAGGCAAAGCCGAGATATTCAACGATATTTGCGGCCGAGTTAGTACACTAAACGCGGAGAGCGGTCCGAGAGAAAAACACTTTTCAGCCGTAACCTCGCTAGTTTCGTGCGGAAAAAGTTCATTTTTTGTGGAAACATTAACCTTTACGGTAGAAACAGGGATGCAAATTTTCGTGCCGAAATTCGAAAAACAATCTCAAATTTTTGTCGCCTTTCGACTAAAAAGTCCAGGTGGTTGTTGCAAAGCGCGAGCTAGGATATATTTTGAAAGAATTATTCCACATTTGTGCCAAGTTTCATCGCAATCTGAGCGTGAGCCTAAAATAGACTCTTGGCTCCTTCAAATTTGTATATATTATTATAATAATAGAAAAGTTTTGTAAGGTCTTTGTGCTTTACTGCATTAGGTATTGCAAAAATCTTGAGGACAAGGAACGAGAAAACCTCTGCCTAATGTTGTTTTCCATTTGTGCAAAATATAATAACAAATCAAACTCTACAGTATAATTTAATATGTTTTCACTCTAAACCCCAGTTTGTGCTAAACGAAAGAAAAGTAATATATGTAGAAGTAAACTGAAAACCCGGTAAAACAAAGCATCTCTTACCTTGAAACCACGGGCTTTGATCGTAGAAAAACACGACCGCAGCGAAGGCCACCGAATAAGCAAAAGCAAAAATCATGTAGCCGATTGCGAACCCAACCCCCTGCCTCTCATAACTTGTGTGATTTCGCGTTGCAATTAGTCGCTCCACGACCAGCGACATCATTGTCCAATCCGCGAGGCCAGTGCAAATACAGTTGAGAAATGAGAATAGGGCACAAAAATAGTCGAGGAATTCGGATTGAGGCGCCATCTTCTGCAGGAGCTCCGGAAACATCCGAGTGATCCCGATCAGACGGATCACTGCCATGGTGTAGCACTGAAAATTTTTATGTAACACAGTAAAGTAACTTTCTGGACAATTTGTTGAAGGTAAAGATGTCTGTCGGGAAAATAATCGGCTCTCTTTTGCAGCAAAAATCGCATCGCTGTCGAGAAAATGAATTGTGTCGCGGCAAAATCAAATGGCTCACTTCAGCGACACGATTGGCGCAGCGGCATAGCGCTTATTATTTTCTCAACAGACTGTTACAAATATTTTTCGGAGGCGATACAAAATTGTCAAGTCAATGCAAAAACATTTGAAACTTAAGGACACAAAACAAAGTTTCACTGCCTAGGGCTTCTCAAGCGCATCCGAGATATTCAACGATATTTGCGGCCGAGAGAGTACGCTAAACGCGGACAGCGGTTAGAGAGAAAACCACATTTTTTGGCCGTATCCTTACCGGAAAAGATTGATTTTTTATGGGAACATTACCCTCTATGGTAGAAATGGGTACGAAAATTTTCATACCAAAAAAACTTCCGACTAAAAAAACATTAATCTCTTTCTGAAAAAGCGACTTTTCTATAATAAATAGCGTCGCACTTGTGGTAATTCCCCTGTAAATTTGTCCCAGACTTGACGAAAACTTGAGCTTCACTAACAACTATACCGTAACTTGTAGATATTTACTCACCAAGAAGAAGCGGAAATTTTTGTGCATCGTCTTTGCCCTCACTACAGTACTAATAAAGTAGACTGTGTTGATGGACGCAAAGACAAGAAAAACATAATTGACGTATTGCAGTATCAACAGTGCACGTTCATACGACATCCTGAAATTGCAAGTCATATAAGTAAATGGTGAAATACGTCGAAACGCGAAAATTTGTGACAGGGCAACGAATTAAAGGTACGAACAAACGAACGAGCAATTTGCTTGTAACAAAAACAATTGCAATAAATACCTGATAGGGCTACAAATAGAAAATAATAACACTACAAAATGGATTCAAAAACTAAGATTTTGAAGAGCAAGGAAGCAAAAAAGAACAGAAACAAAACGCCTGAGAAATTAGAAGGTCGAATAAGGAAGGTGCTAGCAAAACGGCTTGGCAAAGACTGTTCAATATTTCAGCTGCGACTGCAAAGCACAAGTTAAATCTTTCAGGAATGGATGTAATTGATATGTGGACTATGCCTGAGGTGTGTACAATGTTTAGAGAAGATCTGAGCGTTGCTTGAAAGCCTTCTTTTGATATAATGTTGACCTGATCCAATGGCAAAACGCGTACCATTTGGCATCCGGGAAGCATCAAAAACGCAATAGAATACCTCCTTCAAAAAAAACACCGGTTTGAAGAGCGTGCTCTTATCCTTCACAAAAAAAGCGCGCGTTTGAAATTTCAGTCTTTTCAATTGGAGGCATTTTGCTGCGTTTTTGAAGCCTCCCTGTTCAAGTGGTACGTTCTTTGCCACTGGATCAGGTTCGCCGCTTTATCAATGTGGCTTGGTAAAGATTGTTTAATATCTCGGCGTTGTTTGCAAAGGGCGAGCTAAAACTTTCAGCAATTGATATGTTGACTGCGCCCGAGGAGTGTGTAACGGTTAAAGAAAATCTGAGCGTCGCACTTGGGGCGTTTCCCTTGTCAATATTATCCATAAAGAAGATATTGATACGGTTAAATTTCAAGGGAAAATGCGGGTCTATCAGACATTCACGAGCCAAAAATCTTTTAAAAAAATCTCCTATAACTTTACAGAGTACGGTTACTTTCGAAAGTCGAAGTAACTTTCTGGACATTTGGTCTCCGAAACCCCTAAAACCGCAATTCAAAAGTACTTCTCCTGGCCCTTATAAACGCCAATAAAATCGAAGGAAAGTAGCGTACAATAAATTAATAAAAAATGCCCGATTCATTAGCTCGCATGCGGTTCAAATTAGATTCGGTGCAAAACAAACGTGACATTAAACATATTAACTCGGAACCGATTGTAATGTACCACTGCGTGTTTCCAAATTTGGCCGAAATGCCGGGAGCAGAAAAATAAGTTGTAGTAATAACTGCATTTGGTCCAATATGATGGCAAGTTCAATGAAATTGAACGCTTCAACATTCAAAGTTCGTTTTGGTCGGAGTGTAAATTTTGCTGTGTAAGGGCAAAAAAGTGCAACGAAAAGTGGGTAAAATTCAATAAGAGGTTTTCCAGAAAAGGCGCTAGATACGGGCAAAGTTTGCAAAGTGGGCAAGCACTCTGTCGCTTCGAAAATCGCACCGGCGTAGCGAGAATGAGGTTTGTCGCAGCAAAATTAAAAGCCTGTCGGGAAAGTAGTGGCGGGTCGTCGAACTTTGGAATCGCCCGTCCTCGCTTTGCAGCGCCTAGCCGCGGCTGGTAATTTGGTGCTGAGTGCATTTTTTTCGACGAGAAACGTCTTGCTGCGACGACCTGCCACTGTTTTCCCGACAGACTGATAAACTAACACGGAAAGCACCCCAAGTGCGACGCTCAGATTTTCGTCAAATTTTACACATAGGGCACAGATAGACTAAGTATCAAATTCTGAAAGTTTTAGCTCGCGCTTTGAAGCACCAGCCGAGATAATCAACGATCTTTGCGGCCAAGGGAGAACGCGAAACCCGGACAGCGGTCACAGAGAAAAACACTTCTGCATAACTTTGCCAGCTTCGAGGAAAAGAAATTGACTTTTTGAGTAAACATTCCAACCCTATATTGTATACCCTATATGGTCGAGAAGAGCATGAAACTTTGCATGAGAAAATTTGGGAAAAAATAATTTTTTTTCCAATCGTGGCCTAAAAAATCTCAGTAGTTTCTGCAAAGCGTGAGCTAAGAATCTCGAATAAAATCTTTGCTATCTTAGAGAAATTGCTCTAAATTTGCGCCAAGTGTCATCAAAATCTGAGCGTCGCGCGGAATCACCAGACTTTGCAGGACAATTTTTATCCACTGACTTCTTGGCATAGACACCAAGAAGTTCGATTTCATCATAGATAAAAAAGGGTTGTCCTTCGCATAATTACGGTAGCACGCCACCGCGTCCTCCAAAAAAACTAATCAGTAATTGAATATGCAAACAAAACCTCGTGGAATCGGCGTGTGACATGAACCCTCCTTGTTAATTTATGGTAGTTCCAAAAACAAAACATTCATTAGTTTGTTTTGTCGGAAGCCGAACCTTTGACTTCCCATACGCCACAAAAATGATGACAAGGGCATACGATGAAGAACTTTGCTGAAAGGGGAAGTGCGACTCTCAGATTTTGATGAGACTTGGGAAAAAGTTTAATTTTTTCTAAAGCACAGGCTCCCAGCGCTTTGCAGAAACCGTCGAGATTTTTTAGGAAAAAATGTGATTTAGACAAAACATAATTTTATCCGCGGTACAGTGGGGGACTAGTGGCAAAAAACGTACCATTTTGCACCGGGAAGTAACAAAAATGTGGAAAAATGCTTCCCTCTCCAAATAAAAAAACTTCGTTTTGAAGGGCGTCATTCAACAAGAAAGCTAGACCTCTTTACTTGACTCTCATTTCTTGTCTACGCCGCTTTTGTAATATTATAGGTTACAAACGACCGTTACCATACCGTGTGTACGATATGGAACGGTCATGTGCTGTTTGTGGCACAAGAAACTCCTTTTAACCACTAATTAACGTCAAATTGGCAGGTTTGCAAGGCGTGAAACAAGTGGTTTGTTATCAAGAATCAATAATTTTACGTGGGAAGCCATCGAGAAATGTGTGGGTTCAGTTTGCCCTAAAATTTTGCATATATCTTCTAAACAGGTTGCATACCAATAAGTCAAGGATTATAGCCTGCGCCTTCAAACGGAAGTCGAGATATTCAGCGGTATTTGAAGCCGAGAGAGTATGCGAAACGCGGAGAGCGGACAGAGAAAAAACGCTTTTTGACTGTGCGAAAAATTTTGATCTTTTGTGGAAAAATTACTCTCTACGGCCAGAATAGATACGAGACATTCCCATGCCAAAATTCGCAAAAAAATTGAGCGGTAATTGAAGATAAACTATGTGAAACGCGGGAAATCCCAATTTCCATGTGCTCGACACGTTTACGGCGACATAAAACTACACTTGTTGTAAGATAGGTCCTAGAACAGGCGGTCTTATAAATCGTTGTAGTACTTTAAACCAAGAAGTACGCAAAACACTTACATTTCGAATACAAAAGATCTGTTTGTGCTCGGAACAATACGGTCTAAAGGTATTAGAAAGTGTCAAAAAGGACTGGTAATTACGGGCTGCACGTTGGGAAGGACAATACTGTCGCGTAGGAGGAGGGAAACGATTAAATTTCGACAAAAATACTACTCATAAATTCTAAATTCACGGTCAAGTTCAGCTGTGCCGCACTTGAACATGTGTAAATAGGTTTCATAATTACAAACGAGGTCGAAAATACCTTTATACTTGTTTTGCTGCAATAATATGTATCTAACAAAGGAAGTACCCCAACACCTTAAGTGCGACGCTCAGATTTTCTTTAAAATTTGCACACATGTTGGACATAGGACACATATCAATTGTTGAAAGTTTTAGCTTGCGCTTTGCAGGCGCAACCGAGATATTCAACGATCTTTGAATATATTGCAATAGCTCACATCAGAGCCGGGAAAAGAAAGTTTTTTTATGAATTTTTTCGTATAAAATTTATAGAAAAAACGTTCATATTGTAAATCTTCGCCAATTCTCTGCGGAGTTTTCGCCGAGAATCCGCCTGGCACCCGACGGCATGACCAGGCCGCGTTGGCACCTCGGCCAACTTTTTTTTCGAGCTGCGCCTGACCTACGCTTCATATTGATCGATATGGTTCCGACGCGAGCTGTCGCCGACTAGTCATGGCTACGGGCCTGGCTTTCCAAAATCTTTGGGCCCGGTTTAAAGAAAATTCGGGGTATTCGAGAACGCTCAGATTTTGATAAAATTTGGCAAATATTATAATAGTTTTCTATAACATGTGACAATCTTGGCTCTCGCTTTGCAGAAACAACAGAGATTTTTAGCTTGAAAGTCGACAAAAATTTGAGATTTTTTGCCGAATTTTAGCACAAAAAAGTTTCATACCTATTGCTACCGTAAGGATCAGTGTCTCCTCAAAAAATCAAAATTTTCCGTAAGACACTAGAAAAGTTATGTCCAAAAATGTGTGAGGCGGAACGACCGAACTACGAGCCCGAATTCCCACGGATATCATGACTTATTATTCAAATTTGATTGTACTTTCCTACGTGGGATTTCCCTATATAAGGGCCGCTTTTCACTCAACAAAATGTTTTCCTTTCAGACCGCTCTCCGCGTTTAGCGTACTCACTTGGCGGTGAGGGCAAAGCGCGAGCTAAAACTTTTAGGAATTGATACGTATATGGTCCATAACGAGGTGTGCGCGCGCAAAAACTAAAGAAAGTCTGAACGTCGCACTTGGGGTACTTTTCTTGTCAATGAATTACACAAGAAATTTTACACGGTCAAACCGGGCCGGCTTTTAAAAATTTTCCGGTTTGGCCTAAAAAAAGCCGCACAGTTCCAAACTCTTTCCGACGCCAGAACACTGTGGCCGGTTAGACATTGGAAGGTTCATTGGAACTTTCCCAGCTCTTGAAGGCCCCGTCATCAAGCTCTTTATGAGCGTGAGAGCCTAGAATGAGCCATAAAGGGTATTCCTTACAAAAGGAACGTCGTTCTCACAAACTTTCCGTAGAACAATGGCTAGTTCTCGGGAGAAACAATTATCGTAGACAATATTTTCCCTCTACACCGTTTCAAAATGTCTATAAAGAGGGAAAATGAAGTTTTATGCTCCCAGAAACGTAGTAAAAGAGCCGCCTTTCAAGCGATACGCCCATGTGCAAAAAATTCTGAAGGGTCATTGCATGCAAAAAAACAAACAAAAACGGGCGCAATTTGGCAAAAGTATGTAATTTCCCCCGTCATTTGCACTGAAAAAAATTTTAGTTGTAGTCAAAAAAACTATCGTTTTTGAATGAATGAATAATGAACTTTTAAAAGCGGTTGTTTACTATTTATGGGAGCAATCTTCTATGCAAAAAGCTATTAAAAATAGCCTTTCAAAATAGTGAGCAAAATGTCGCTTCGCTGACCGCGTCGCTGAAATAAAAAAGCAATTTGATTGTGCTGCGACACAATTCATTTTCTCGGCGGCGATGCGATTTTCGATGCGATAGAGTGCTCATTATTTTTCCGACAGCCTGATAGTCAGTTCGAAAAGTTGCTGGAATCATTTCAGCGACGCGCACTGTGCGAAAAAAAATTCAATGTGCACTGTGCAATTTTCAGCTTTTTCCATAGTGCAATAGTCACATTAAAACCAATTTTCTGGCGGACTGGAGGGTCAGAAAGTAAGAATTTTTAAATGTAACGTAAAATATTTCCAATAAAAATAAATTCTTTACCCACATAACCCTCAAGGCAACTACAGCTGGGGAACCTGATCCAGTGGCAAAGTACGTACAATTTTGGATCCGGGAAGCATCAAAAATGTGGCAAAATGCTTCCCTCTCCAAGTGAAAAAAACTTTGTTTTGAGGGCCCTTTCCCTCACAAAAAAAGCGGATGCGTTTTTGAAATCTGAGTTTTTCACTTGAAGAAGGAGGTATTTTGCCATATTTTTTGATACTTCCTGAGTGCAAAGTGGTACGTTTTTTTGGCACTGGATCAGGTCCCCCCTGTAGTCCAATGCTTGCACACTGTGCGAAAACAAAAGTTCACTTTGCACTATGCAATCACTGGCTTTTTGCACCGTTCCATAGCCTTTTTTGGGCTGTGGCTTGCACACTGACTTTTCTTGCACAGAGCGTGCCGCAGAAATCACTCAAGCGACCCTGTGAGCCCGAAAAACTCTAAATAGCTTCCGTGAAACGCTAAAATAAATAATTATGGACGTTTATTGAACATTAATTTCCGAAACAATTTCCCATGCACTTTTTGGAGCCCCACAGTATTCGAAATAAAAGTGCCAAGTGAAGCGATTCGAGTAACAAAATGATGTCTCGAGGCGGTTTCTGAATAACAGTAATTTGAAATACGAATAACAAGATTTGTGGCCCTTGGGAAAAGTTCGGGCCACATGGACGGAAAAGGCTCAGAGGGCAAACGGGGATCCCGAATTTTTGTTGAGGTCAGAAAGTTCATTTTTTACGTTATTTTTTGGATGGACCTGAAAGATTTAAGGGTTGCAAAATAAATGAGGAATGTTTGCGGAGAAAGTGCGTAAAATGCAACGCTCAGATTTTGATGAAACTGGGCAAAAACTTTTAAAAAAATTTCTATGAGAGATGCGAGACTTTGGGTTTGCGCTTTGCAGAAATGACCGAGATTTTTATACCGAAAGTAAGCGAAAATGTGAGACTTTTCTTCAAATATTAGTCGAAAAAATTTCATGGCTATTTCTACAGTAGAGTGTAATGTTACCGCAAAAAATCTTTTTTCTTTCTAAGCGACACTGGCGAAGATATGGCCGGAAACTGTTTTTCTCTATGGCCGCTCTTCGCGTTCCGCGTTTCACCCGCTCTCTTGACCGAAAAGATCGCTGAGGACCTCGGAAAATTTTCATACCTATTTTTACAGTACAATATAATGTTACCACAGCAAATCAATTTTTCGCGAAACTGGTGAAGATACACATGGCCAAAAGGCACTTTTCTCTTGGAGCTCTTTCGTACTCTCTTGTCGTCAGATGTTTATTGTTGATTATCTCCGCAGGGCCTGGAAAGGGCAAGCTAAAAATAAGTCATAATTCAAGACAATATTTTGTAATATGTTAGGTTGGCTTTCCGCCCATGCCGTCGAGAATAGAAACCTCTCCGGGACTGTAGCCATAATTACAATGAATTCTAGGACCTCGGCGTCAACGTAAGATCGATTCGAGGCGTGGAAATGACAATAGAACTACATACATGACGAAGATGGAACTAACAAAAAAAGATCAGAGAAAACGGGAAAAAACAGCGATTTTTGGTATGGACATCTCTGTATACACGGCAGTTTTTCCGCCCAAGAATGATATGGACCGGTGACTTTCACAAACACCATGACCCGCTATGGAATAATGGCGCACCTTGAAAAACAAAAAAATGCAGTTATACGAAATTACGGAATCCTCACGTCGTCTAGACGTAAAAAGTTGAGGACAAACTCAATTCACATGTTCGTGATAAGGGTAGGGGATATCTTCGGAGCAGTTGTTTACTTCCCTCTCCCGTTTACTACACCCTGGGGAAGGCTAAATTCGTTTGCTCCATTTGAAAGTTTGGACATTAATGAAAGACAAATTTTAAGGAGTTCCAATCGTGGCAGAGATAGCAAAAGAAGACGAAGTTGTGGTTAGTAAATGGCCTTTTATATATGCAATTTTTGACGAAGCAATCCTTGAAGATCAAAGAGCTCAGAATACGTAAACGCCTGCAGGACTTCTAACAAATGAAGTCCTTAACGTGGGGCCGGATGAGAATGAGTTCAATTTTCCAAACTTGGCATCAATTTGGGTTCATTTTTTCAGATACTGTATATGCAAGACTTCTTCGAGCTTGAATTTTGGACCAATTTCGAAAGAATGCGACACTTTTTTGCAAATTTTGACATGAAAAATTTTCTACCGTGTAGAGTAACGTGTCCACAAGAAATCGATTTTTTCAAGCCGAGGTTCGCAAAGATACGGCGAAAAAGTATTTTTTCTATGACCTCTCTCCGCGTTTTGCGTACTCTCTCGTTCAGTACAAACAGTAGACAAAATATGACATTTTGGGCTTCATTTAGATATAAATTTACTTTATCGAACCCAATGTCTCGGTTTGCATACCACACATAAAACTGAGGAGCCCGGTGACCGGAACAGACACTTCGCTATCGGTTTTTTACACTTCGTTTGGATTTCACAAAGAAGACAGAAAAAAGAAGCGCAAAACCTACTCTCTCGCCCCAAAAATTCCTCATTTCTTTCCTACAAAAGGTTTTTAGTGTCTTTTTTGGCGAATTGCCAACGTATTCACCGGACTGTTTTAGCTACCCTCAGTTTGACGTTGAGTTCAACTGCACCCGCAAAACGGTCTATCCCCGCTATTCTGCGTGAGTTCAAAGAAATGTGGAAAGAATCTGGGAGTCCCGCTTTCAGAAACTCTCATATTAGTCCTACCCCACAAGCGTTGATGCCTAATTTGTGACCTAGGATTGCTTTTTGTACAGAAGGTCTTAAGAACATACTTTTAATTCCAGTCCACTGTAGACAAAAAAACTATATATCAATAAACTTTTCAAGGATGTTGCGTGAATACATAAATAGTATATTCTCCAAAAAAACGAGGGTAATTTTGTCGGGTTCAGATCAAACGCAGATGTTGGGAACATGTTAACCTGAACATTTGGACACGCCGTTAACGAATTCATTATTTTCTTGCAGCGGCCACATGTGTTCCGAGAAACGTGCATAAAACATTTAGTGTTTCAATTCGATAATGTTATTACTCCCTAGTGTAGTGGGGTTTTTTTATTACTCATATTCACATAAAAATAATTGTGTTAAAACAAAATTTGTACTTTGACAACACAACATGACCTTTGATGACTTGAAAGGCGTTGCTAAATGGCTTGAAGTTTAATCCTTCGAAACTCTAAATACTCGGGTTGTAGAGGTTCATCCACAACGCCCAATGCCGTTGTTGCTCGTCCTTCTGCCAACTGATGACTCGTTCACGGACCTCGAGCAGATATTCATATTGTTCGTGGGTGAAGAAGCGGCGATAAAAAACTCTAGCGACATTCCACGCATCCGAATCATGAAGACGGTCATCGATGAGGATGTCATTGTAAACTGAGAGAGGTAGGGTCTTCAGAAAGCTGGTGCTGTGCGAATTAAAGGCTTGCGAGTTGAGACGGTGGATGTTCTTGTGGTCAAGGACGTCGACAAGGTAGGAAGCGCTGAAAAAGGCGCATTGAGGCATCGGGTTACTAGTCGTCCGCAAAGTCCCTCGGTTGATTTTCTTAACATGCACTAAGCGAAAATAAAAGTTTACTTTGCACTGTGCAATTTCGCCTTTTTGCACCGTGCTATAGGCTTCTTCGGGCTGTTGCTCCCACTCTGACTTTTTTGCACAGTGCAAGCGCCAAAAACCCCTATCAACTTTAAAAAAAGACCAGTAAAAATTCGAATTTCCGAAAAAATTGCCATACGACTTACCCTTTGACCTTATTTTTCCACTGTTCAAATTTGACGGCAAATGCCAACTCCTTGGCGTAAAAAGCTTGACTCTGTGCTCCAAGAACAATGAAATCCCCAAAGTTTTGAGTAATTTGGTTCTCAATGGCGTCTACTGACATTTGGCGGTCTAGCGCTGCAAATTAAATAATAAACATTGACTTTGTGCAGAGGAGAAGATTAAAGTTTATGAAGTCAACGACCGCTGAAGGCTAGCTATATTCGACAGGTTGATACTAATTTTACAACAATACTAGTCCTTCCGGAAAGACTAGTAACGCTAGTAACGCATTTGTGTGACAGCTTGTCCCCCAAACAATTCAAAAATTACTGTAATACGTCAATCCAGCTTGGTTGAAGCTCGGAGCCATTTGCTGACCAATAGTCAATCAATGTGGTGTTTCGGCACAAATAGAATTTTGGAGAAGATCATTGGCTATTTTTCTTAGCTACCCAGGTCAAAACATTGCTTTCCGGTCGGAAAATTACGCGTAAAAAACTCATTTCTTTGATTTTTTAAGGCGAATTTTGTCCTCCAAAAAATCCTATGAAAGACTTTTGATATCTAAAAACTCCTGGTCAATCGATAGCGTGTGCTCGAACGGTATAAAAAGCCCAGGATATGCGCTGGATATACGTTTTTACAAGCATAAAACAGTGTCAGTACAGCGACTGGCACTGTCATCTCCTCAATTCAAGATGACGGACTTTCAGTCCCTTGAACTTACCAAAAACCTCTTGCCATCTTTTCAGCGTCATTGCCACAGTGTTCATACTGTACTTATGCAGTTGCAAATCCCCGAGATTCAGAACATCACAACATTTTGCATCGTAAATCTTGACCTCGATCGCTTTTTCGGTCTGCGGTAAATGGCTAGCCAGGTCCAGCGGGATATAGTCCGTGTTGGCCAGGATAATCACCGTATCTTCGTAGAGGTCTTGGCTAACATTAGTTGCTGTCACATAGAATGGCATCAACTTTGCCATATTGTCCTCATGAACGTTGGCGTTCTCAACATAGACTAATTCCGCCTCCATTTGCCTGAGGACATTTACCAGCATCTTGTTCGGGCCCTCTTGATAGAGTTCCGGCTCGCCGATCAACGCAACTATTGAACGGACTCCCAGATTGCGCCAGATTTGAGCTGCAAACAGGACTTTGAGAAGCTCGGCGGGCTCCGACGTCGTCCCGAACGCGACGAAGGTGTTGTCGACGGCCGGGATATTGCGCAGCGAGGCGCCAGAGCCATGCAGATCGGTCGAGATGAGTTGGTAGAATCCAACGGACAGAATAAAGGAGACCATGAGGAAGAGGCCGTAAATGTACAGCAACGAACATAGCGAGTATTTCGGATAGGCGCTGAAAATTAATGTTTTTTTAAATAATAGTGAAAAAAGGAGTATTTGCGGTTGTAATGGCATGTATTATACATGTAAATTGAAGGTTCTTCAAGTCTTTCAAAAAAACGCGTAAATTTAGAAATCATAATCAAGCTTTTTGAGATTAGTGTGATGACCAAAAGGTACCACAAAAGTCTCCGCCGAAAACACCCTTCCGCGTCGGCGTGGAAAAAAATCTCTTTCGTAGTGTTGCGATTCCGCCTAACCATTCAAATCACAAAATAACAGCTGAAGTGTCAGTCTGTCGGGAAAATAATGAGCACAATGTCGCTGCGCCAGTCACGTCGCTGAAATGAAAAGAAATTTGATTTTACCGCGACAAAGTTCATGTTCTCAGCGACGATATATATTTTCAGAGTGTTCATTATTTTCCCGACAGATTTTTGCAGAAATTGCTGCAAAAACAAAACCTCAAATTACCTCTGACTCTCATCCTCACTGTCCTCATTCACTAGCTCGATTTTGTCCTCCTTGACCTCTTGTTTTGACACAATCGCCGTGATCGGCAACCCGAACGCCGGAGACAGCAACACCTTCGAGTTGTTCAACATTTTTTTGCCCAACGTTGCGTCCCGAGAGCCCTTTTATCCCCCATTTCACGGTTGTTTAGTCATGTTCTCGTTCCAGTGTCATGGATGACACTCTTACCTGTCCTCTGCCCGCGGAAAAGCATTGTTTTTTCGGGGGCCGAAAGTCATCTTCGTCTTATCGCCGTTGTCGATCTGGTCTCGGTCTTTCGCTGATCCGACTTCGATAAGAAAGAATCTTGTTAGAACTTTGGGGAGTGGGCTCGGGAAATGTCAGAATTTGCTGGGAAACAAGGGTGAAAGAGCTAAAGCATAGTTGACATGCTTTCGTGAACATAATTGATAGTTTACATGAATGCAAATTGAGTGGGTTAGAGTAATTTTTGCGTGTTAAAACGCAGCTTCCGTTTTCACTAATAAAATAAACAGAGCACTGAAAATGTCAGTCTGTCGGGAAAATAGTGAGCACTCTGTCGCATCAAAAATCGCATCGACGCCGAGACAATGAATCGTGCCGCGGCAAAATCACATTTCTTTTCTGTCGAAAGGCCCGACAACCCAGCAACGAGACAAGACGAGAGCTCAAGAGTAAAGTGATTTATTCAGTGGAAAGGAGGCCTTTTATAGAGAAGCCCCACGTAGGAAAGTACAATCAAATTTGAATAAATGCAGATCATTCCTCGTGGGAAAATCCTCGAAGCTCGGTCGTTCCGCCTCACATTTTCACTTCAGCAATAAGATTGGCTGGGAAAAAGAGCACATTGCACTCATTACTTTGCCGGCAGACTGATACAAAACATCGGCTGTCCTGCATTCGAACCTCATCACTAGCAATTGGATTAGATTTATAATATTTATAAGTCTGTCGGGAAAATAATGAGCACAATGTCGACGATCGTGTCGCTGGAGTGAAAAAAAGGAACTAATTTTTCTGTGACACAATTCATTTTTTCAACGGCGATACAACTTTCGATGCCGACAGAGCGCTTATTATTTTCCCGACAGACCGATAGAAAGGTATCAGCTAGTTCTGAATTTGAACCTTGGCACAGAGATTGGATTTATGTATTCCCCATCAGTCTGTTGGGAAAATAGTGAGCGCAATGTCGCTGATCGCGCCGTTGAAGCGAAATCAATTCTACAGGGTGGTTCAGCCGAAGCTTCTATCTTTATATCAGTATTTCTCCGCCAATAAGGCACCAATTTCCATAAAATTTATATCAAATTGAAGCTGCGATGCCCCAAAAGTTTCACCGATTTCGGGCTCCTAAATTTGGAATGAAAATGTCAAGAGTCCTCGGTCAACTTGAGCCTGGCATATTTGGCGGACAGAAAATGGGGTACCTCAGCTTCAGTTTCACATAAATTTTATAGAAATTGGTGCCTTATTGGCGGGGAAATACTTGAAATAAGGATGGAAGCTTCCGGCTGAATCACCCTGTATTTGGCCGCGACACAATTAATTTTCTGGCGTGCATGCGACCCTCGATACGACAGAATGCTCTTTTGGCGTAATAATCAACAAACTTGAACTTTAAGGGACTAAAAGCAACTTGTACTTTAAGAGACCCTTGTTTCACAAAAAAAAATCATCCGCACTTTGCTATCTCCGCTAATTTTAGCAACAATAAATTTTTGGATCGTAATAATCTTTGATCCCCTACACAAACCTTCGAAACGTTGCAACCAAGCGTCACCTCTTTCACATGAGACCCATTTTTGCTTTTTAAAGATCGCAAAAGCATGATTGATAAGATTGCACAGTGCCTTCTGAACAATATGTAATATTCTCTTCGTATCTTATCGCTCATCGATCTAATCAAGGGTTTGTTTGTCGGAAGAAATTCTAGAACTCTCGATTGGTTATTTTTGAGTGATCAATGACAATGTTTGTTGTGGTGTCAACAAAATTTCTCTTAAATTTTCGCCGCTCATTTATATTTCTGCGCAGTGGGTGATTGCAATGTGTTTTCTGGGTGTTAACGGTTGTTTATCGGTAGTTTTGGGCTTCATACTAGTGGTTACAGAAAGTGCGTAGACTTTTTGTGGCAAAGCTTTATGCACTGTGCATTTTAACTTGCGCTGTGCAGTTCGAAAGTCGCTGCGACGTAGGCTTTTTTTTTGAGCTATATACAGTGGTTAAACAACAACTCTATGAACAGCCAGAAGTACTCCATAGAGCAGGCAAAAACTATTTTTTGATATTTCAATGTTTCTCGTTGCACAAAGAAGCGATCCTAGCCATATATGGCTGTTGTTTATGCCACCGTAACTTATTAAATGAGTGTCAAAGTGGCAAATTTCCTGGAAACTCAGAGATTCGTCAGCACCGAACCATACACATGTACAGTGACGGACCTGATATAGTGGCAAAAACGTACCATTTTGCATCTGGGAAGTATCAAAAAACGTGGTAAAATGGCTCCATCTCCAACGAAAAAAACTCCATTTTGAAGAGCGCGCCCTTTCCTTTACAAAAAGATCGGGCGCGCTTTTGAAAGCGGAGTTTTTTTTCACTTGGAGAGGGAGGCATTTTGCCCACATTTTTGATGCTTCCCGGATGCAAAATTGTAGGTTTTTTGCCACTGGATCAGGTTCCCCCCGCTGTAGTTGCCTTGAGGGTTATGTGGATAACGGCTTTATTTTTATTGGAAATGCTTTATTTCTCTTGCAAAAATTATGAAACTTCCCGGGTGAAACTTCCCGGGTGTTATGAAACTCCCCGGTGTAAATGGTGCGCTTTCTGCCACCGGATCATATCTGCCACTGTATACGCACATACATATGTGTCAAGCCATATTGCAAAACGCCGTCTAAAAATTTTATATGGGTCTAGATATGTTTTCGATGTGATAAATTACCTGGAAACACATAGTTTTATAAGTCCCGAGTTAAAAGTATTGCAGGCAGTTGATGTGCTTCCTGCTGGCTTTTTGATCAATAAAACCGCGTTTTAATAACAACGACATTTCCAACTACGACCTTATTTCCTCACTTTTCAGTACCGCTATGACCGAAGAGCTTCGCTGGGGCCAGGAACTTCGCTGGGGACTGATCGGATGTGGCAAGATCTCCCACGATTTCGGGAAATCCCTCGACAAAGCCGAAAAGCCGCATAAAGTCGTCGCTTGTGCTGCCTCTTCGCTGGAGCGGGCGCAGAAATTCGCCAAGGAGCACTTCCCCCACGCCACGCCGTACGGAAGCTACGAGGAATTGCTGAAAGACCCGCACATAGGTACGGTCCATCCCGAAAAATGAATTCAGACAACTTTTAGACGCAGTTTACGTCGGAGTGCACAATGAGGCACATTGTCCATGGGCTGCGAAGGCGGTTGAAGCCGGGAAACATGTGCTGTGTGAGAAGCCGTTTGGAACCTGCGCTGGTGAAGTGAGACAGACTATTAAGCGGCTCAAGAACAGGAAAACTTTCCTCATGGAGGTAAGAAGACGAGATGGTCAATAATCTTGACCAACAGGTCTTGAAAAATGGCTAAATTGCGGGCAATACTTATTGAATCGGACGTTATAAATTTTGCCCATTTGGGGGTATTTTTATTCTAGGGTGAGGCACGGAATTTTGTACTTTTGGGACACAACCGGTCTCCCCAAATTTTTTCTTTTCAAAATCGACCTTCTTCTTTAATTGGATGCTCGCTAGCCGTTGAAGCTAGAGATGTGAAAATCGGCATGAATATAGAGTAAAGGCTCGGCTTTCAGAATATATAAATATTATAATGAAAAATTTTTCCCGATTTTCGCAGCGACATGCAAAAACCATACTGCAGATTTTCAGGACTTTTTTCGTACAGATGGCTTTGATTTCATATGGCTCTTTATAGGCATTCTGGAGCCGATTCTTCCCGGCATGGCGATACATTCGCAATATCGTGGACACCAAGGAATGGGGAGAGCCTCGAGTTGTCCAAGCCAATTTCGGATACCCACATGTATGTATCTCCTTACCATTACAAGTCTATAAGGAAAATAATGAGCTCTCTGTCGTTTCAAAAATCGCATGGCGGCCGAGAAAATTAATTGTGCCGCTGCAAAATCAAACTGCTTCTCACTTCAGCGACGCGATTGGCGCAGCGACACCGTAGTCATTATTTTCCCGACAGACTGCTATAATATAATACTATTACCAATATTACTGTGTAATTCTTTTTCTAGGAAGACAATTGGCGCTGCAACGAGCGTGCGGAAGGAGCGCTGACCCTATACGGTCTCTATGTTATCATGCTGTCTCATTACATCTACAAACGGAAGCCAGAGAAAGTCTCAGTTATTGGAGCCAAAGATAAAGTGCATGGTAAGAGAATTAACATTTTTTTGTCATCTAAAACGCTTTTAGACTCCGATGAATGGGCTACAATCGTCTTGGAGTACGGCCCTCAGCAACGCGCCGTTCTTTACTACGACTCTCGCACGTGGCTTCCGCAAAACGCCTTCGTCTCTTTCGACAAGGGCCACATCACACTCCCTGAATACTTTTGGTGCCCGGAGAAGTTGATTCGTTGGGAGGGCGAGACTTGGTACAACAACGAACACAACAAGAAGACAATTGAGTTCCCGCTAAACGATGACAGATTCTTCAATTACAACCATTCGAGTGGGCTGAGATACGAGGCGGATCATCTTTACGAGCAGGTTCAAAAAGGTAAGTACTAGAGTGGGGGGAATGATCCAGTGGCAAAAAACGTACAATTTTGCATCCGGGAAGCATCAAAAATGTGGCAAAATGCTTCCCTCTCCAAGTGAAAAAAAACTTTGTCGTGAAGGGTGCGATCTTTCCCTCACAAAAAGTGCGGGCGCGCTTCTGAAATGAGAGTTTTATCACTTGGAGAAGGAGGTATTTTGCTACATTTTTTATACTTCCTGGATCCAAAATGGTAGGTATTTTGCCACTGGATCAGGTCCCCCACTGTAATAGTAACCGCTCGCAAGTCGCTGGAGTAATTTTGGCTTCATGAAATCTCAAAAATTGTTTTTTATACACAAGACTCGTTGTGCAAGAACTAATTGTATAGACGGTGCTAGCTCGTTTGCACAGTCGCTAGGATGATTTCCGCGACATGCAGGGTACAAGAAAAGCCAGGGACAGCCCAAAAAACCTCATTATTTCCTGACAGACGGATCGTAACTCGTAAAAAAGTTTAGAGCCTTGCGAAAGTTTCTACATAGATACATTTTTTCAGGCCGAATTGAGAGCGATTTCCATCCACTGAGCGCCACACTTGAGATCGTGGAGACCATGGACGAAGTGCGTCGTCAACTCGGCGTCCACTTCCCTCACGACGACAGATTCAAGTAGACGACTTAACCAATAAAGCCTTCCCAACATACCACCAGTAGAACCAATACCACATATCACTCAATAAAATTCCCACAAAAAATCTCGAATGCTCCTCCGTTTATTTACAACTGTCAAGGCCAAAAAATATTCATCTGATATCAACAAATAATGATCACCAGTTTGCTAAAAAAAGGCTACGGTTATGCGAGAAATGAACAAACCGGTTAAAGCGTTAGTATTTCACGAAAAAGTCAAGTATCAGTACTTATGGGCGCTTTTGTAAATAGAGACGGGCTTGATATGCGAATTCGGCGGCTAGGCGACGATGTTTTGTGGGTCAATGGGGCTGAAACGCTGAAGGCGGAAAAAGTTCTGAAATGAAAACAGTGTCAGTTTGTGGTTGGTGGGCGACCGGGAAGGGCAACACATTCTGAAAGTTTTGTGGAAAACGTTTTAACGCATAAAAAGTAACTGAAAAAACAGAGTTTGATCATTTTCATCGAGCTCAATACAAAAGATGACAGTGCGAAAAAGGGTGTTATGGGCTTTTGAGAAGAAAAATTAAGTTTTGTTTTTCAATGCCATGACATTAAAAATTCAATGCCAAAATACGGAATGCTCATTTTTAACTGACAAGGCAAGTGCCCAAAGTGTGACGTTCATATATTTTTTTTAAAATTGACAGACTTTTCGGACATAGGCCACTTATCAACTCATCAAAATTTTAGCTCACGCTTTGCAGGCGCAGCAACTTTTCTGAAAGCACACAAAATGTGGAGAGCGGTCAGAGGGAAAAAAAGTTTTTTGGCAGTAAATTTGCCGGTATCGTGCGGAAAAAAATTGATTTTTTTGCGGAAACATCACTCTACAGTAGAAATACGCATGATTTTCATGACAAAGTTTGTAAAAAAATATCCCATTCTTGCCACCTTTCGACCTAAAATTCCCAGTTGTTTCTGCAAAGCGCGAGCTAGTATTCGCTTTACCACCTGCGAAAATATATCGAATTTTGATCAACAAGAAATCTCGGGGGCTTAGAGCTAAAAATCTCTCATTTTTCTACGAGAATTAGGCTGACTGTAAGTTATGCCATGCAAAAAATCTGAGCGTCACACCTAGAGCACTTCCCTGGTCAGAAACTCTCAAGAAACGGTAGAATTTGGATAACCTTTTGACTTGATAACCTGTACGTGTGCAGTATAGTGCGGCTCTTCGACTATCTTCTGTTCCAGTTTAACCCATCGCACGTTCTGAATGTCAACTCTTAACCCTGAAAAGCGCAAAAAATGTGTTGAGTTTAGCCCTTCGCCTAACAGTGAGCCAAATTTCGTGACAAAAAAGGCCTTAGGACCAATGTTATGTATCATAATTTGCGCCAACTTCCACAAAAATCAGTGCGTCGCACTTCGAACGCCACGGCCTTTTGGGCCAGCCCTTACCGTCGGGGTGGTGGTGTAGCGGTGGAGCATGTTCTTCGGCACGACCACCAAGTCGCCCTTCTCCAGATGCAGGCGCAGCCACTCCTCGTCCTCGTACTCCACGTCCATGTACATCTCGCCGTCCACCACCATGCACACGGTGGGCGCGGCGACCTCCTGCTCCTCGTACAGGTCGTCCATGACCTTCGCGAGGTCCGCCACGTTCTCGTCGATGGTGAGGATGTCGCCGGTGTTCACGCTGTTCTCTTTCTTCACCGCCGACAGCCGCTTCTTCATGGCCTGCGTGTCCGCCAGGTTGACCTGCAAACGAGGTGTTGTTCGTTTGGGGAAATCTTAATGAATTAACGGAATTCTTGCTGCTGCACTATCACTAACATATACGGAGACAAGCAAGAGAGGAAGAGTTAGAGGGAAATTGAAGACCGTGAGTAACGGCTGCTAAGTCTAAGGGTTATTGGAACTGTAAATAGAAGGTTGTAGGTCCCTGCGGGGGTCGGTTTTGAATATTTCCCGAGAGTTATCGTGAATTGGAAGGGCAAGTTGCTGAACGTGCGGTTTTTGATTGAATTTTTTCTAACATGTAAGGCATATGATGCAAAAAAGACCGAGGTTTCTTGGTTGAAGTGTAGTTGAAAATTCAACATTTTGTTGCTACTTCTCAAAAAAAATTTTTTTTCTTGACACAGGCACTAGTCCGTTCGCAAAGTTGATGAGGTGATCTTTGGGGTTGTGCAAGAAAAATTCAGGATGCAAGCGACAGATCAAAAGCCTCAAAAACCACGGTGCAAAAAAACCAATTACACAGTGCAAAATAAAATTTTGTTTTTCGCACAGTGCATGTCGCAAAAATTACAAAAATTCAAAAATTCGCAGGCATTGCAACAAATTGAAGTTGGACCGCCTATGTGTTGCTCAGAGGAAAACTGAACGCCGCAAAGCGGAGTTCAAATCCGCAATATGTTTCCAGTGGGACTAGTCCTCTAGCGCTTGCCTGACGCTACAAGATAAAGCCAACAAAACAAGTGCAAGTTATACAGAATGCCTACCTTGTAGTAGGTGACTCCAGCCTTCTTCCTGAGGTCGTCGACGGTCAGGTGCTTGGGTGGGAACACGTGATGCGGCAGACGACGGTCCCCGACCGGATACGACTCCATCTTCCAGATTTGCATGTTTGAAGCGGGTTTGGACTGAAAAAAAGTCAAATTTAGCGTTGTGGTAACTAGTGCGCAAATAAATCACGGCAGAAATCATAAAATCAACGAGAAAATAAAATTCCGAAACATGAGTCGTATACCAATTATTACGATAAAACCGTTGAACCGGCGCTTTTATTGTTGTCGGAAAGCCCCGAGAATAGCCTCGCCACCCCATGCTGTTAGCCCCTCTCACCTTTTCACCTCATAAACTCGCGTTCGAGATCCTTTTAAAAAGCACATATTTCTCCGTTTCCCCGCAGGAAGTGTATTATTTCGTGACAAAACAGGTGTAGCTAATCCCCCGCCGGACCGTAAGTTGGAATCTTTGAAGGTTTTTCAACAAGTACAATATTTGAGGAAGAAAATGGATGATCTAAAAGTTCCAGCAAGTGCATAGACTTTTTTTTCGCGGCGCATAGTCCAGTAAGAAAGTCTACGCACTTTCTGGAACGACTAGTAGGGCCAGCCCGTTCGTAAAGTCACTGCCGCGATCTTGGCGTTTGCACGGTGCAGAATATTTCAGGGTGCAAGCGAAAGCCCAAAAAAAACCTATTGCACGGTGCGGAAAAACTCAGGGTGCGAGCGACAGCGCAAAAAGCCTACTGCACGGTGCAGTAAAAGTCAAGGTGCGAGCGATAACCAAAAAGTCTACTGCACGGTGCAGAAAAAATTAGGGTACGAGCGACAGTCCATAAAGCCTACTGCACGGTGCAGCAGGAGTCAGGGTGTGAGCAAAAGCCTAAAAGTCTATTGAAAGTTGCAGAAAATTCAAGGCGAGAGCAAAATCCCAAAATAGTTTATTGTATTATACGGTGCAGAATAGTCAGGGTGCCCAAAAAATCCAATTGCACGGTGCCAAAAAAATCAGGGTCCAAGCGACAACTCAAAAAAAGCCTAATGCACGGTACTGTAAAAGTTAGGGTGTGAACATGGTGCAGAAATTCTAGGTGCGAGCAAAAGTCCAAGAAGCCAATTGCACGGTGCAGTAAGCAACAAATTGCACAGTGCAAAGCGAACTCTTGTATTCGCACAATGCATGCCGCAAAAATCACCACAGCGACTTTGCGGACGGACCAGTGGAAAACGTGTTCGCAAATGGAGGGATATCGAATATTTTTGACTTTCCATTCTTACAAAATAAATCCATAAGCCGAGCCGAAAATCCCTCGCCGACCTCCCCAACCCCAACTCCCCTACCCACCGGCTGATTTTTTGAGGTGAACCGAGGCGCGAGGAAGTAAAATGGAGCAGCCTCAAGGTGAGGAAGCGCATTCGCGCGTATGCCAAGGGTTTGCTGTGAGATCTGAGGATGATTAGAGCTGACAATCTTGGGGGTATCGGGGTAAGGAGTAGGTCGCAGGTGGGTCAGCGACTCAAGAAGATCTTAATCGACCACCGTGAATTCTTTTTCTCGCCTTCAGAGGTGCTAAGTCGGGATTAGAGAGGAAGAAGGGGGAAATATGGATTTGAATTGGAACAACGGTTATCCTATGAGACATAATCGGTAAGGAGATACGCAAATAACATGTAGAATCCGTAAGCCACGTTAAAATTTAAAACTACGCTTGCAAAAAACCATACAATTACCTTATATTTATTTCCTTTGGGCTATCAGTTTGTCGGGAAAATAATGAGCAAAATGTCGCTGCACTGATGGCGTCGCTGAAAACAAGAGCAACTTGATCTTGCCGCGACACAATTCATTTTCATTTTTCCGTTCATTACTTTCCCGACAGACTGATATCGTAGTCTTCGGAGCGGCAGATAAAAAAGAAGGAAGTGAATTTTCTCCCCAACCTTTGCACATGAGCCAAGGTTTGCCTTGAAAACGGAAAAAATGGTAGTTTATCTAATCAGAAAATCAGGATTCGGCAATAGCAGGAGAAAGAAAAACTGCCTACAAAGCGACGTAATGATTTTGCCTCCGATTTTTTTTCAGCGAGGCCAACTTACAAGGGAAGTCACTAAAGTCACGGATCGATTTTTAAAAACGACTGTTACAGCGATGTGGAGGGTACGACGGAGATGTCAAATCTGAAAACCGCTACCTCCACCGGCCTCTGCGATCCGAGATAATCGACCAAAAAGGTTTGACCAAAAAAAACTTGCTCCGAATAGTCCTCTCTTCCGAAAGAAGGAGGGAAGAGAACCGAATGGTCCGGTGGTCTGGAAGCGCGCTTCCGGGCCTGCACCTTTTCAGGTTCGAATCCGCATGGGTCGAATAATTTTTTAAACTTTTCTTGTAATCCAATAAATTTACCGGTAAGATAAAATTTTTGATTTTTTTGCATATTTTACGATAAAATTTCAGAGTAATAATTTGAATGCGAGTTCCAAACGGTTTGAATTTTCAAGGTTGAAAATTTACCGTAAAATAGGCATAAAATCTAAAAATAAATTGATAGTAAATTTACTGGATCACAGCAACTTTTTTATAAATTTTTCACAAGTTCGAGATCCGCGCGGATTCGAACCTGAAAAGGTGAAGGCCCGGAAGCGCGCTTCCAGACCACCGGACCATTCGGTTCGCTGGATTTCATTCTTTCGGAGGGAAGAAATGTTTGGAGGAATTTGGTCAAACTTTTTGGTCGATTATCTCGGCTCCCAGAGGCCGGTGGAGGTAGCGGTTTTCAGATTCGATATCCAGATTCCCCCCTCTCCATTTCAGTAACAGTCGTTTTTAAAAATCGATCCGTGATTTAAGTGACTTCCCTTGTTAAGGATTTGTTCCTTGTTTTAGTGAGGGCACCGTGAGGAAAAAATGTTATGGTATGATAAGGGGGGAGTAAGCGGAAAAAAAGGGAACATCAACGTTCGGTATTTAACAAAAAAAACCTTTGCTATACATAGCTTAAAAAATATAGGCTAAAGATAATTTTCAACGTTTTCTTCTAGGCTAGTTTTTGTTCAAAATCCGCCTGGTTCTCTTATTATCACCCCATTTTCTTGCAAGCCAAAAAATCGTCCTTAAAAATTTTGCCTTGGTCCCCCCTTACCACTTTTTCTGATCCTTAAAATGCCCTCTTCGCCCAGGTAACACTCATCTTTCCCAACCCAAAATAAGATCAAATTTTGCGGCAAAAGTTTATCTCCAACACAGAGCTTCCTATGCCCCAAAAATAAGACTGAAGCCGAAAAGTGCCCCAAGAACTTCGCCAGGCATTTTATAGACATCAAATCTTACCGCCTCTCCCACAACTGATGTGCGGTTTGTGTCCAAACTACGTTACTGCGAACAAGAACCTTCCCGGACCAAGATTACGAAACGGGAGCTTGAAGAAAGTCCCAGGCAATAAGGACACAAATTCAACGGGAAGACGCTGTAAAATCGTTCTTTGTTTAAAGGAAGAAACGACTGCGATGCGGATTTGTAATCAAAAGCATTTTTTTCGTTCTTTTGGTCATCGGGATAACATTTTTTGGAGTTTTACGATAAAGTCTAACAGGGCGATTGCTAAAGTGCTAAAATTTGAAAATGAAAAATTGAGGTCGCGCTTGTGCTATAGAAGCCTTGCGGCAGTTTTTGGTTGGTTTAATAGAGGAGTTCAGGAGATGCAGCGCTGAGATTTGGTTGAAAATTGGAGCAAATTTAGATGAATCCTTGATGGGAAGATAAGAAATCCCGTAAATTAAAATCTCGGAATGGGGCAAACATTTGAGTTTTCAGGTTAGTCTAAAAGCAGCATTCAAAATTTGAGACAAATTTACAGCCTGTTTGAACCAGGTCCCTCATATCATATATCCTCTCTGATCCCTCTCTCAAAGCTGCAAGCCTATTTATCTCAGAGAAACGATGACTAAAAGCACGTAGACACAAGAACGTATCCTCCAAATCCCTTATACAGCAACCCAGACAAAGAGGAAGACGATTAAAAAGCGTCCGCGACCAGACGTCTCCACAATGACACTGACTTGTCTTTGTCACCGCGACTTTATCAGATTCTGATGCCTCATGATGCGAATGCAGTAGGAAACGTACCGTCACGGTCACAAACTACCGTGCAAAAACGTCTGACATAAAGCACAAAACAGGCCGACATCTTGGTGATGTTTATCAGGCGGTGGGCCGGAAGAAAAAGGGCCGCGGATGGATCTTGGAGTCAAGATTTGGGAAAGAAATTTGGCCTAGTGGAAGACAGAAGATCATAGCTGCAAGATTAACGGTTTTGGAGACTGGAGGACACTTTGAAATACTGCAATTCGCGCGGAAATTTGGCGGAGGTAAAGATCAGCACTCTCAAGAGCACATTAGCCGTCTGTCGGGAAAATAATGAGCACTATGTTGCAGCAAAAAATCGTATAAAAATCAATTGTGTCGCAGTCAAATAAAGGTCCTTAGACTCTAGCAACGCGACTGGCGCAGCGACAAGGCTTTCACCATTTTTCCGGCAGATTGATAGCCAGTTTTAACTTGCGCTGTGCAGAAGCCGCCGAGATTTTTAGTGGGAAGTTGGCTCAAGAACGACTTTGTTTACAATTTTTTTTTCCGGTGGACAAAAGTCCAGAGCATACGATCTCCATAAAGAATTATCTTTGCCTGATCAAAACAAGCAGAAATGGGACCGTAATACGCTTTTATCTACCGTATCTTCTTGTTTTGCGTACTTGTCCGTCATCACAGTCGCTGGAGCGATTTTTGCACTCTGCAAAAAAGGGCAATGTGCGCTCGTCGTGCCTGTGAATCACCCATCATTGTTTTTGCGACGGCTAGAAGCATTTTTTTCTACGAGACGAAGCATTTTTCTGCGACGAACGGCCATTATTCTCCCGGTAGACTGATGGAACCCTTCAATTTTGCTGAAAACATTTCTACACTCTCTAAAGCTTAACATAACTTTATTTCAGCTAGTCATTTACGCTAAAATTCTCGGAAAAAATTTTCTCTCTTGGCCTACGTGCCATTCGGCCAAAGTCTGTCGGGAAAATCTGTGGTGGCGAGTCATCGCAGCAAAGTCTTTCGCCTCATCGAAAAA